TAGTTTAACATCGCGTTTTAATAAAAATCCTTCTTTGCATGATAATTATGCTAGTATTTTTAAAGAACAATTATCGGAAGGAATAATAGAACCTGTTAATGATAAATCAATAGTTCCAAATATGGTTTATTACTTACCTCATCATCCAGTAATTAGAAATGATAAACAAACTACAAAGTTACGGATAGTTTTTGATGCTTCGGCTAAAGAAAAAAATTGCTACTCTCTAAATGATAACTTATTATCGGGTCCCAATCTAAACCCTAATCTTTTAATTTTACTATTAAAATTTCGCGAGTTTAAGATAGGAATAATTGCTGATTGTGAAAAGGCTTTCCTACAATTGTTAATTGATGAACATGATAGGGACTATCTTAGATTTCTTTGGTCAGAGCAATTCCCTCCCAAGAAAATTGAGGTTTTTCGCAATAGAACCGTAACTTTCAGAGTAAAATCATCAACATTTTTACTGGCTGGAACAATAAAGTATCATATCAAAAATTATAAAGAATCTCACCCTTTGGTTGTTGTTGTTGTTGTAGTTCATTTACGTCGCACTATAGCTGCACAATGGGCTATTAGCGACGGTCTGGGAAACATCCCTGAGGATGATCCGAAGACATGCCATCACAATTTTGATCCTTTGCAGAGGGGATGGCACCCCCGTTTCGGTAGCCCAACGACCTGCATCCAAAGAGGCCTCATGTATGGGGTTGTGTGCTCAATACAAAGATAATTTAAATTATCAGAAACTTAAGTTTGAAAAATTGATAGTGACACCCTTCCTGTCCGACGATTGTTGTTTTTCTACTAAATACTTTGAAGAATGGAGGTAGCTGATTCAAATCTCACTGTTACCTGAGTGTAACGTTTTTCTGCCCTTCTCTAAATTATGCTATACTTTTTTTTTAAACGTGACACGAGTTCATAAGTTCTCTCTTGAATTCGGTACGCTTTTTTCGTAAGTGTATAAATAAATAAAGAGCCGTTAACACTTAATAAAGAACAGCCTAAGTATGCATTTAGTGCAACAACGAGATTCGAACTCACTATCACTACGCTTCAGAACAATAGGTCGACGAAGAAAATCATATTTTTGCGTCCTAAAGTGAGAACCTCAAACAATATATGATACAAGCGGGCGACATACAAGCGCTTAATTGAAGAAAGGCACAACATTACATTGCAGTGCCGTTATTTTGCTTCTTAATTGTTTTTCTGTTAATCAATTAACATATTAATTAGTTAAACATTTTCGTAAATGATTTTAAGACTATTTCTTACGGTTTTTCTAGATGAATAAATATAGTTAGTCTATCATTTTTGTTTTATAGTACACAGGCCCATCGCTAACCGATTCGAGAGGGGGGGGGGGGGTTGAAGTTTATTTTGCCGACTGTCACACACACACATATATATATGCGCGACGTATTTAGAGGTCGGTAGACATCGATTCTGACAATTTGATACCACTATTCATCTTATCGGCTGAACTGGAATATTTGAAAGAAGAAAGAAAACTATTTAAATAGTATATTAAAGAAAATAAAAAATATTTCAGACTCACAGGAATGGAGATGATTCAAGAAACAACAGCAGGTAATTTGCAGCGAGATACTTTCTCATTTAATTGAATAATAATAAAAAAGACGTCCATCTCAAATGGCTGCAATTTCTTCTCATGAACTAACTGTTCCAGTTTTCAATTTTACTTTATTTCTTATCAGCTCCAGATGAGTTCTTTCGAGATAATTATTAAATAACTATGTAATGATAAGTTTATTTAACGGGTGTTATCGTTATGCATTTCCCCAAGAAAAAAAAATTATATTTTTTAAAGGAATAAAGTTAATTCTTTATGGTATTTTTGTTTGTTTATTACTCTTGCTTCATAAAGTTATCTGCTTCCATGGACTGTTTATTTACCTGATCATTCATTGGAGGAGGAATAATACACTTGAAGCTTTCAAAGGTCTTCTGTTCCAGTCTTAGGAAGACAGCTGTTTGCATTTAGTTAACCATCCATAGTTTTAAAATAATTTCATAATAATTTGCTGAATACAAAATTTTAAATGATTGTTAAATATAATTTTAATAGCATATATAGTCATTGTTAGAATAAGAGTAACTGATTTATATGAGTTTCAATTCAATTAAAAAAAAAACTATTTTAGTAAAAATTGCTGAGGATGAAAATGAAAGAATAGTATGAGTATTAATTTACTTAAATTCAGTAGATAATTCATGGGAATGTTAATTTTGCGTAGCCCAACCATTTTTTTAAACCTATCTCTACAAATGAGTCACTCAAAATTTTATCTTTGGTAATAAAACCAATATTTTCTTTTTTAAGAAAATTAAAAGTTTGATTTATTTTAAGTACTAGAAGAGAGAAATGTGAGAAAAAAAAACTTTGCTGTTATATTTGGGATAGCTATCATAAATAAACTACCTATTTTTATTATTAATTGTTCAATGCTTGAATACTTCTCAAGAAATTTACAATTTTTCAAGTTTATTAAAACTTGAATGGGTACAAAAAACATTTATTAAATTTAGTTAAATGCTTTTCCAAAAGTTTCAATTAATTTGCAAAAAAAAAATATATTTTGGGGGAATTGTTAAGAGCAACATTTACAAGGGAAGTTATTTGAACAATTGAGAAAACATTGTGTTAAGGCCTGCAAATTATAGAACATTCCTGTCCGGTGTTTCAGCTATAAAGCTTTTCTGCAGATCGTGATCTAGGGTTTGAGTACATTAGACCTCTGGTTGATAGGTCTTGCTCCTAGGAGCTGCCCAACCTCTAAGTCAACAAGGGAACTTTATAAGTGAATCAAATATTTTTGCACACAATTATAAAATTTTTTCTATCAAAGAAAATTAAATGAAAAAAAAAATTATTTTTAATATTTATTATTTCCAAAATCTTTATTTTTAAGCCTTCACCTCTCAAAACCTATAACGAATTTAATTCAAATTTTGCATTCTGCTTTATTTAAAAATGAATTTACACAGTAAAAGGAAATAAAAATTTGCAATTCAAAATCGTGAAATTGGGAAGCAACACTGTGAAATTAGGGAGGTAAATTGTATTTTAAAAATGGGATTTTTCTGCCACTTAAATCTATGACTTTCCATGGTTTTTTTTTTAAAAAAATAGTTAAATTCATGACATTTCATTACAATTTTTGCTCAATACAAAAATCCATGACTTCTCAAGTTTGCAGATATCCTGTGTATCTCTTTCTATAAATTTCCCTGTCTCAAAAAATTCGTCTTATAAACCAGACAGTGTATTAAGCTCAATATTACAGTGATTTTATAAAATAAACTAAAGATAATTTATAATACTCTAAATATGCTACAAAAAGCAAAAATAATTTTCAAATTGGCGAACTCTATTTCACATCGATGGTGAACTATGATCCACAACATTATTTTGAACAATCCATGAAGCTTAATAATTATCAAAATATAAAATACCTTGCTTTGGTTTGTTATAGGAATCACTTCTGCATTAGGATAAAACCATAAATTGATAAAATATTCCCTCTAAAACAAAAATTGCTTCGAATAGATACTTGAATCGTTAATATTTTACAAGCATTGTTTCAGCTCAACTACCAACAATCTATATTTTAAACCATTCAAAATATTCCAGAAACGATGCTCTTCGACAAGAATGTCAAATAGTTTGTGAGTGAAATAATTAATTTTTAAGTATATCCAACATAAAAACTGGTAGTCACGTTGAGAACTTAAAAAAAAAAAAAAAAGAAAGAAAGAAAGAGAAATTTAAGAAAAGAAATAAACTTTATTTCTTAAAGTGTCTGTTTTTCAGAAGTTATGAATAAAGGCTGATGCACCTTTGTACCAGACTCTTGGAACCAGCCTAGTATTAAATCAATAAAGCAGCGAGGAACATTCTGACAAATAATATTTTCTGAATATTACCTGAATTCATGAAATTATCAGTAGAAAACATGCTTATTAGTCTATTCTTTTGTGATAATTGGGTATATATATAATATATATTGGATAATATATTCCGGTAATAGAATAATAATTGAAATTATTTGCTATTTTCTGTATAGATTCATTATCAGAAAATATATCACCAAATAGGTTTATCAGACTATTATTTGGTGATAATTAGATATATCCAAGTAAAAGACTAATAATTAAGAATATTTGTCCATTATCTGAATATATCCAATTACCATCAGAAAATAGGCTCGTTAGCTTATCTTTTGATGATGTCAAGACATTTCTAACCAATTAATCAAAGCGGATTACACAAAAACAATAGAATTCACATGAATTTTCAGTAAATAATTTGAGACATGCTTCTGTGTATTTCTTTATAAATATGTATTCACATAATATCAATCTTGACAGTAGTAGAATTGAAAATTCATTCAAATTTATACAGAATAAGGTACACAAGGATTTGATTTCTGATAAAAAATATTAGAAATCCTATCCAAAAATTTACTTACATCCAATTCTATAAATATGAATTGAATTGCAAGGCTATCAACTACTACGCTTTTTGCAAAATATTTCATGGAGTGGTAAGTATTTTAAAAATAAAGTTTTCAGTATTTTTTTAATTTTATCAACATTCTTCCCCATGCTGGAACAAAGTTGTGTTTTTTATGAATTTTTTAATCATTTAAATGTAGTGGTGTGGAAAAAAACTTTACAATTTATAAAACAACCAATTAAACTTAAAAACATAAATTTATCTACCACTAGGAAAATTTTTCCCAAAAAGCGTATAAAATTCGATAACAATTAATATAATGTTTGAAACTTCAGTTAAACAAAATAATAACAGAATTTTTTTTTACTGTATACAAAACTTTAAGATCAAAATTTTAGAGATAAGTAAGACAAGAGATATCTTTACGCCATATAAAAGAAAATAAGTGAATACATTTTATAAAATTAATTGTACTAACATAAAATCAATCACATTAAGGATTATCTCCTTAATATATAAATAATAATAACATATTGAACAACATGCAATATCAGAACTTTTTTTATTATTATTAACACCACAGTGAGATATAATTTTTAGTTAATAAATAAAGATGTGCATTTTTTTAACGAACTACAGCAAAAATTATCTTTGAAAATAACTTACTGGTCTTAAGTAACATAGAAAAGAAAACATGTAGTTTTTTATTATCTATTTTATGAAAAGTGCTTGAAAAATTCTTTATCAATGAATTGCTATCCTAAACTTTTTAATGTGAATAAAAATAAATAAAAATTTTGCATAAAAAAAACATGCCAATATGTTTAAACAAATGAATCGCTTCAGTAGAAGTTTCTGACTGAATTTTATGAAAAATGTATGAATTCTCAGCGAAAGATTTTATGTAACAATACAAAATTCATGCCAAGTCATTAAATGTCAGAGATCTCATTAGATGTGTTTTAGAAGTGGAAGAAGTTCCAAGTGTACTTGGAAACAAACAGTCTAAGATAATCTCGGTAAACCTCCTTTTTGGGAAGCACATTACAAACCTGAGATGTGAAGGTTAATATGCCAATAATTAAAATAATAGTAGAGGATTTATAGATTTCCTAATTCAAAAGCTTACACATAAAAATTAAAGGTAAACTAGAATTTCCATTTCCTCATGCACAATAAAAAAGGTCAAAGCATAAACTTTTAATCTGGCTTTAAAAAAATTCAGAAAAATGTTGCTAATCTTTACACATAGCTCTTCAAATATAAAGACAAAATTTAAATTGCTTTAAATTTTTGTAAAACAAAGTTTTTATGAGAAAATAAGAGTAAAAAAGGAACTTTTATTTTCAGTGTTGTTACACATTGTATAAGGGTATGGAATACTATGCCATAGTACAATATTGTATTCAGAACTAGAAAAAATCATTATACATATTTGTTTTTATAAGGATCTATTTTAAAAGCAATATTTAATAGTTAAGAATAAGTGTACAATTAAAATAAATACACACAGAATCCTTTTTTCTTGAAAAGTGTCGAAATAAGAAATTCGAAAACATTTAGAAATTCAATTTGTAATAGCGAACGCAGTTCCCTAGATTTAAAATAATGTTAAAACGAATTTAAAGAAATCATCACAAAAGCATCTATTTTATAATCTTTGAAACATAACAATGAGTCCAAAACGATCAGTTTGTGGAAATAAATCAACAGGGATAGCTAAAAGTGGTACAAAATATTTTCCATACAATCCACTTGCTCCAGATGGTTTACATAACCTGCAATTAATATGAAAAACATGAAATGCTTAAAAATATTAATGCATTACAGTAATGCAATATTTATAGTGACTATATTGAATGTCAATGAATTATATAATTTCAAATAAACAAAAAAAAATGCAGTTTACATAGATTTTTTTCAAAAAGAAAACAAAACAAATTTATACAATAAGTTTATTTTCGTAGAATTTCAAAAACAAATCTTTACAATGTTTGAAAGGATTTTTTGCCCTTAAGAGAAAGTACAGCCTTTTTTCTGTTTCCACAAGCACTTGATAAAAATAATATTAACTTACAAAAAAAATTTAATTAAATTAAGGCAGAAATTTGAATTAGCTTAGTCCCAACAATTTAATCAATTGAATACATACAAAGGGCATTACATGTGGGCAAATTGTGGCATTTCTTTACGCAATGATTCAGCGCCCAATCAGATTTGCAAGTATCCAGTAGGTAATAAACTAAGCTTAATGATCGTAACGTCGGATTAGGCACAGCTAAGTGATTTCAGAGGTTAGTTCTCGAGTTATAAGTATCCATAAGTAAACAAGCAATAAAAATTAAAGAAATAGTGTAATGGCATTTTTTTAATGAAATTAATTTTCTCATTTGAAAATTTTCAAGAAAGCAATTTGATTCTGGAATTTATAACCCAGTGTAAATGTCTGCATTGTACCTTCATAATTTTCAAATACTGCTGCACATTTCCACAAAAAATTCCCATAAAATTTATGAGAAAAAAAGATTAAGTACTTTTGAATAATGCAGTGAATAGTTTCTGAAATAGATCATCTACACCATTTATTTTAATCTAACAGTGATGAACACCTGCATATTATTTCAATTTCTGAAAATAATACCATAAAATTTATAGGGTTGTTTACATACATAAATGTAAATGGTACAGAGACAAAAAAAAATGAAAGAAAACAATCAAAATACATTAAAAAATTCTTCATTATATTTATTGTCAACTGTATTTCAAATTGAACAAGCAACTATTTTTTAGCAAACTTATTTTAAAACCTAAAATTGTTTTCATAAGCATATTAATCCCATGAACGCATTTTGCAGAGATGCCAACTGCTCCGGACACGCCAAAATAATTCAAGAAACGGTAAATAACTACAACTAAAATTTGCTAATATTTGAATAATTTTGCTTACTTTTTTAAAGGGTTAGCATAATTTGACTATAACAAAGTGGCGAATTATATAAGCCTTTGAATTATTTAGAAATAGTGGTGGATAAAAATCTAATAAATTGAACTTAGTAAACCCAAGAATGACAATTAATAAACTACCACTCGAAAATATTTATTCGCTGTCCGGAGCAAGTTGGCATCTCTGATTTTGATTTGTTTTGTTTTAAGCATGATAAAATTAATAATGTATTTACTAAAGCTCAAGACAATTCAGATGGATACTTAAAACTCTTAAAAAAATAAGCACGGTAATATATTATATAAATTCTTAAAAAAAAATAAAAAAAAACTATGGCTAAAAATCCATGTTATTGATAGTAGAAAAACTTGTAAGGGTAATTTTCCAAATTGCTAAAATTATATATAAAAAAAATTATTTTATAAAAACTAATTACAACTAGCCATTTCAGCATACCTGACATAATTACCAACTGCAGATTTAGGAATTGTGGTCATATAGACAATTTTCTTCAGATGTTTGCATTGCCTCAGGCATTGGATAGCTGTTTTAGCTGCAATAAAATTAGAGTTATTAATTTCTAAGTTTAAAAGTAAACTATTTTATAAGCATGTTATAGCATTAACATGTGTTTTATTATAGCATGTTAATTTTACAAAATGAATAATTGACAATTATTACAAATTGCTAAAAGATTTATGAAATGTTTTACAAGAATATTCTTTTTTTAAAAAAAAGAAGGATTTCAAAATATTGATTTATATTGACATTAAAATCCTTTTAAATTACTTATTTTTCTAAGTTCTTTTTTTTTTAATTCATTAGTCAGAAATGAAACCTGTGCACATAACTAGAAATTCACATCCTCTTTTAAAACTAGATTGAAGAATGCAGTTATTGACGGCAGCTGTGAGTGCTCCACTACCCCTCCCTCTCTCATACATATATATATAATATAACTTCTGTTAAGCGGACACTCTTAGGACGGTAACAACTACAGTGTTCCCTTTCCACATCACGTTTTGCGGCTTCAATGCTTCGCTCGTGTTTCCAAATACTTCATAAAAAAAATAAAAATAATACAACCATGTCGGCAGCCACATTGCAGAAAGGAGCGTTCTTTCATGTCGATGCGCAAGAGAGAAGGATCTCTGCATGTCAAACAAAGAGATGAAATGACTCAGAGACAAGAGATGAAATGACTCATATACCACAGGCTCTCATAAAGGCGCGTTATTGGTTGATTTACTACTTATTACTGCATAAGGTTTTGTAATTAACCTTATTAATTAGCACTGAAACGTTTAAGTAAATACGTATATTGCCGTAATTTTTGTCTTAAATGTGTAAAATATAAATATTGTTCACATATTTAAAAAATTCGTGTACCGCATACATGAAAATTCCTAGGGGCAAATCCTACTTCGTTGTTTTACTGCTTTGGCGGAAGGTTCTGGTCCCCATTAACTGCGAAAAACGAGGAATCAATATATTTACATTGGTATCTATTTAAATTTTAAAGAATATTTTTCAATTTAAAAAGAATAAAAGAAAAATTTATATATATATACACACACCAGGGTTGGGTTTTTGACGTCAAAAAGTGGTTTTTGACAAGACAAGGGTATAATACTGGTTTAAACCGNTACACAGATATCCAAATTAGTCATATACAAGTTAGTCATATAATACAAATGGACACAAGTTAACACCACCTAACACCTCTCTATCACTTGATAAGAAACATGGTAATATTTCCTTGGGGTGAGCACACCGGTACGAGATTAAGTAAAGTAACTTAGTTGTCTCTGCATGGCAACACTTTTTGTGTAGTAGTCGTTTGTAAATAAGGGTAGATGGTGTTCTTTCAAAATATACTGAAGTTGTGATTTAATTACTTTTACGCGAATTAACAGTGCTGACCATTCCAATTTTGAAACATAAATAAAATATTAATGTTTGAAAGTTGGAATGGTCAGCACCTCAAGTATATTTATATAAGTATATATATATATATAACATGATGTATAGCATAGATTCCATGTCTGTTGATAAAAAAAAGTTTTCGAATTGTCTAAAAAACCCACTACAAATGAAAGAAAATGCTATCTGAAAATGTCAAATGTCGATGTTAAAACTGGTGGTTTCAGGCATAATTTGAAGTTAGTACAAAACACACAGTCATAAACCAAGGGATTAAATAAGGGTCATCTGGAAAACAAATCTCCCACATACTATAAAAAGAAAACAAAACATATTTACGTGGAAATATTTATTAAAAAAAAAAGATACAGCAATATTTTAGCTGCTTCGCATAAAACGAATCACCAGAATCACAACTCCTGTCATATTTTGGGACAAGTTTTTTTACAGCCTTGTGTCACAGAAATCTGCTGTCTGGAAATTGAGGTGGCATATTGTCACAGCTGTTGGCATGTCTTTGTCTGAGATAATGCTCAGAAAGTGATTCAGCTGCAAGGACAGATAAACAGCTCTGCGAAAACACCTGCCCACAAAAGTTCTGCTTAAAGCTGTTGAACTATTCAGCCTAAAACTCTGATCTTACTTCCAGCAACTTTCACCACTTCTTGTACCGAAAGAAATTCCTAAACTTACTCACAGACTAAAACTTGCAGACAACTGAGACAACATGCTGGCTCTGTCACCTGGCTGCAGACTTCTATGATATTGGACATAAAAAACTTATCCCATGATAAGACAAGAATTTTGATTCTGACGGTTCATATGTTACGAAGTAGCCACAATTTTGGTGTATCTTTTTCAACAAATATTTCCAAATAATATGTTTTGTTTATTTCTATTGGCCATATGTAATCTCACTTATTAGATGATCCAAGTAAAAAAATTACTTTTCTCTCAAAAGAAAACAAAATAATAAATAAATAAAACTCACTTAGTTCAGTTCGAGCAGGATTTATAACAGCAACTAGGTCTTCATAAAAATCTTTGCTCAGAACTTTATTAATTAATAAATCAATATCACCTCCAACGAAATGAGCATTCTTTATTTCTAGCAAAATAAATTACACTTCAATTTATTTACAAATTTAACAACATATTTTCAACTATTAGAAAAAATATTCAGTCATTTTAATCTAATAATATCATGTTAAATAAAAGTGAAATAAGTTTTTCATTTGTAAGCTCTGAAAAAAAATATCATGACAGCAGTATTATGGATTTTTAATTGGATAATATTTTTGTCTGAAATTTCAATTTAAACCCAAAATTAAAGTATTGATTTCAAAATACTGCCAGTAGTATACATGCCAAAATTTTTAGCCTGTTAAAGAAATATCTAAATCTGAGATAATGTAACTTTCATCTAATTGACTACTCATTGTCATTATTTTTGTGCAGTCAGGGAATGAAGCAATAAGTTCATCAAGTCAGTGTGATAATAAAAAACTTAAATTTGCTGAATTTATAGAAATTAAAATCTACAAGACAATTCACAAAATTAATAATAACAAAATTTAAGGAGCCAACTCTTATTATTACTTTTCACAGATTGGAAGAATTTTTCAGTTTTTTCTTTCTTTTAAAACTTAAACTTTTACATAAATTGGCATAACATATACAAATATTCATAGAAAATTGTCATCAACTTAGAAACTTTTTTAGAATTACTCATTAATATTGGATCAATATACCCTATGCACTGTCAAGATATTTTTAAAAAACTATTCTAGAAAATTATACATTTATTGTAATCCCAGTAAAGAGAAAAGAAGAAAATTGATCTTATTCTTGAAAAAAAAAGACAGAAGAAATTAAAAGATATTCAATCTAAGCAGACTGTTTTAAAGAACCAAAGTTCTAATTTTAAAAAAAAAAAAAAAAAAAAAACATTGTAAGATGTGATAGATTTGTCATACTTATTGATTCCTGCAGATTCATTTCGGACAAAACTAGTAAATTTAAAAAAAAAAATAATAATAATTAAAAAAACCAGTGATTCTTGAACAAATTTCATCAGATTTAAGCAGTGATGAAAGAGTTGAAACTAGCAACAAGAGTAAACAAATTGCTCACAGAAAGTTTGGTTAATGCAGAAATAATGAAAGTAGTATGCACTTCTTCTGCCTTTTTTTTTTTTTTTTTTTGNATAATAATAATAATTAAAAAAACCAGTGATTCTTGAACAAATTTCATCAGATTTAAGCAGTGATGAAAGAGTTGAAACTAGTAACAAGAGTAAACAAATGAAAGAAGACAAATGAAGAGTAAACAAATAATGAAAGTAGTATGCACTTCTTCTGCCTTTTTTTTTGAATTCACAGTAAGTTTTTCCTTATATCCAAGACTGGTTTTATGATTATGCAAAGTGCACCACACAATAATTAAAATTCCAAACATTATGAATTAAAAAAAAAAGGAGTTTGATTTGTCAAGTTGCTTAACATTGATGGTGGTGTCATTTATTTTTAAAATGCATTTTATCTTAACCACAGCACATATTTATATATTATTATTAATTAACTTTAACAAACAATAAAAAGGATTACACTTGAATAGCTAAATAATTTGATAGAAAACATGCTCTATGTTCATATATTTGTGGTTGGTATTCTATTGAATTTACACAAATATATATAAACATACACATGCAGGAATTTAAAGTAAAAATCATTATTATAATGTAACTATTAAATAATTAGATAGGTACATTATTTATGTCACACTAGAGCTGCACAATGGGATATTGGCAATGGTTTGGGAAACATCCCTGAGGATGTTCTCAAGTCATATCATCATAATTTTGAACCCTTGCAGAGAGGATGGTCCCACTGCTATGGTAGCCTGACAACCTGAGAGAGAAGTCGAGCACTTTATGGTAGAACAGTCTAATGCGGACTGATACCGCGCACCCACGGCAATCAAAGTGGTCACCCACCCGCTTACTGACCGCAGCCAGTCATGCTTGGCATCGGTGTTCTACTGGGAGCAGAGTCTTTACGATCAGTCCACAGTGAGACATTAATAATTAAAGACTCTTGATTGCACTGAAATAAATTTAGCAATTAGAATTAACTCAAAAATCAAATAGTACTAACTATATTTAGTTTAGTCAGTGCCATATTTAATTCTCTTTAATTTTACAGAATTTTTTCAAGACAAAATTAATACTGGTATAATAGAAAATGCTTAACATTAAAATTTAACTTCAAACAACAATTATTTCCACAAACCATTTTGATTTGTTTTAAAAACATGTTTTAATAAAAGAGTCATCAAACCGGAATCACCCTGAGCCACACCTCTTTTCTTTACTATTTTTAAAAAAAATTTAAATGGCATCAATTTATTTCAACCATTTGCGGCAAACTTTTAGACAGGGGGTTGTCCAAGCCTGATGTAGAATTTTTTGAATGTTGCAAGAAATTTAGTTGAAAATATTAGATACATTTCTTGATTTTAGCAATTAATATTATTAGGCTGTTATTGCAATTTAAAAAAAATAAAGAAAAAAAATCATAAAATTTATTAATGCTTTGAAATTCACTTAGTATGTGTGGGCAAGCATACAAAAAATAAAAGCTAAACAACTGACCATTACGGATAGCATTTGCCTTAGCATCTTGTATATTTGACAAGCAAGAGTCGATTCCAATGCACTGCTTAACTCGAGGCGACATCATCAAGCTTAAAGGACCTGCATCAACACAAAGAAAATAAAAGTAGTGTAAATCTCAATTTTTAAAGAATATACAGCAATAAAATATCAACAGACATTTAACTATATAAAAATTATAGTTTAATAAAATCTCGTTTTGCAATTATTATGAATTCTTATTTTCAGGTCTCTCAAACATTTCTACAAATATGCAAAAAGGAGAAATTTTAACTTAAAAAATTTACACAATAAAATGCAATTATGCATTAAATTGGAAAAAGAAAACTAATAAAAGTTTCAAATAGGTAATTTAATCACATAATTTTTAAATAATAAATATTTCAAACTTAAATCAGAAAGTTATGAAAAATTGGGATAAGTGTTTCTACTACTTAAACAGAAAGTATTAATTAAATTTTAGTGGAAGAATGGAGGTTTTCTATTACAGTAGACTAAGAGGGAAAAATTGCAGTACATAGTTTCAAAATTATTTTGTATATCGTTAAATAATTGCCTCCGAATTTTTTTTAACTTTGTAATTATTATTTTTTTAAATCTAAATACTTTATCTTTCAGACAAACCTTAAATGTAAAGTTCTATTCCACATTATCTCTCCAATGATATAATTTGTAATTAGTTTATATATTCATTATTTTTTTAGCTTTGTTGATTATTATAAGAGTAGAAGAAAAATTAACTTATTGTTTATAAATATTCTTGATAGAATCTTAAAATTATTTATGGACAGATAATAAAGTTTTACTCAGAAAAAAATCATAGTACTTTACAAAATTCATTAAATTTGTATTTCTAAGTACATATATAACATTCGCTAAAAGACTTAAAGTTTTGAACAGTAATATTTAAAACTTTTTTATTTTATAAAATAACTATACTGCTGATTGAATATGATGTATTTACTCAATGAAATTTAACAACATGAAGGTCAAAGTGAACACATTAAAAAGTCAAATATCTCCAATATTTCAAGGTTTTATTTAAATAATGAGCTAACCAACCCATTATTCACACACTACTAAGATACAGATCTTTTAAAGTCAGAAGAGTACTTTGTTTTTCCTACCTTGTCTGATTTGCCGAGTCCTCTATTTAGCAACAGAAATAAGATGCAATTACACTGGCTTGCCTTGAGTAAACATAAAATTAGAGATAACTTCCCTTTTTTTTTGAGTTGACACAGTATTTATTATAGGTAATTTAAATTTAAAGTTCAAATCAACTGAAAAGTAAGGAAAAAGAAATGATTTTCCTTTATTAGAATACAAACTGGATATGGAATTTAGGAAACTTGAAACTTTCTGTATTGATTGTTATTAGAAAAAAAATTCTGATTTCTTTCTAATCTGAAGTTCCTGAATGTAGACAAGTGCATTTGACACTACAGTGCTTCTACAATAATCCAACTAGTACTATGTTCTTATAATTGATTTTTCTTTTGCAAAAATTTAGCTTTTATATTTTTAGATATTATTGATTAAAAATAAATATAAAAAATATTAAAATAAAAAACTCATAAGTAATAACTTTTTTTTTTTTTTTTAGATATTAAAAAATTAAAATTTGACTGAATTATTTGTGATGCAAATTTTAAGGATAAATTTTGTAATAATTTGGTAAAATTCAGGTGTTAGCAAACAAATATTCACAATGCTGTATCAAATGCCAATGAAGCACATTTGCATTTACAAAAAAAAGTGAGAGAAAAAAAAAACAATTAATGTGATGTTAAAGAGGAAAGCAATTAGTTGTAAAATCAAGAACAACCAAAATTAATGCTCAGAGGGTTAAGACTGCAAAACCACTTACTAAGCGCAAGAGTAAAATTTACAATTTAGTGAAATTTTCATTAAAAAATAGGGGACACTATTCCCTTCCATTTGTGTATCAAACTTCAAAATTATTTTCGTTTTTAACCATGAACTACATCAAAATAAAAAATTATTCAAAAAACAAATATCCCAAATTTTTTTTATTGTTATTAACATAGAATTTAGTTCCTGATTTTACTGGTATAAAATTTAAACCTAATTATTTTACTTTTTTATCATAGCAGACTCATCTACAAACTTTATTTTTTGTAAAATGTTTGGTTACTATTAACACAGGTAAGTTGTTTTCTGAAATTAATAGTTTGGTGATAGTGCAAAAAATTAATACATATTGCTGTTTTGCAAATCTAGTAACATTTTGGGCTCATTAATTTAATTGTGTGTATTCAGCAGAGTTTGTTAAATTTGTTATAAATGTAAAAATATGTCATATAAAATGCAGTGTAAAAAATGGAAACTAAATATGTTTGTCATAAAATATTATATAAGAAGGTAATAAACATATTTTAAGACAGAATACGTAAAGAAAACATTTAGTTTGAGCCTCTAATTTTGAATAATATTCAAGATTAAAAATGTAATACAGTGGCTGCCATTAATAAAATCACAAAAGCCATCAGTGGCAGATGGATCATGGGTTAGAGTCTCCTTGCCATGAGGCTAACCGGGGGAGGATTTCCTATCCATGTAACGCAAATGTGATTTAGTTCCATCAAAAAGTCATCCATGAAGGCAAATTTCTCCCAATACTTGTTCCAGGAGTTCCCTCGTCTTCTGGAGTGGGTTTAACATGACGAGGCTACGGAGTTGAACATCAGCAGTCGCAAACCCAAAAAATTGGGTCGGATGTTCGATGACGATTATAAAAATAAAATCACTGTATTACTAAATTAGCTGCTTTTTAAAATCAATCAATTTTAATAAACGGTGAGCACTGTAATAGCAAAGAACATTAAGAAGGCATGACAAATAATACAGGTAAATATCATCAAATTGGAGATACATGAATAATTCACAGGTAAATACGGTTATAACTTTTATTAAGTTGTTGATAGTGACAGCTAAAGTTATCTGACCAATGAGAATGCACTAACAACAATCAAAAGTGGTAAAACAGTAATCTTGTTACAGAAACGTACCTGTACCACAAAATATATCTAAGACAGTCGTGGATTCATTGATTCTGCAGACTTTCATTAAACTATTGTAAGCACATTCTAGAGAACGGGTATTGCTGGGAAAATAAGAGCATGGAGATATCTGGAGTTTCAAATTATTGAATGATTCTACAATACACGAATCTCCCAGCAGTAAATCCAATTTGAAATCAGAGCTTTTCTGTTCACTGTGAATTAAAATAAACTACACATTATTACTTATATTTTTAAGAGAACTTTTATATCTAATTTAACAAAGTATTTTTTAATCTGTAAATTCAAAAATAAAATGCAAAAGGATTTAATCTTTCCTACAAGAATAAATATTACTAAGCATCTATAAAATACATAATTTGGTACAGAAAGGCTTTTTCTGATAAAATTTAAGGAATTCATAAGGAACATTTGCATATTTTAGACAGTGTTATAATGTTGATGATGACTATAAAAATATTTTTGTAAATATTATTCAACGACAAGTATGACTCAAAATTAAGAAATTTCGCTAACGGCCAGTAGTAGTATTTTCAACAGAGACCACTTTTTAAAGATTAAAAATTTTAATAGATTAAAAAAACATGATGTTATTAATGTAAAGTATTTCTTTTGAAATATTTCTCAAAATATGGTGATTACAAGGTCTGATTCTAAAATGAAAAAACTAAGAAACCAAACAATGAGTGCCAAGCATGCTTGGGGACTAAACACTGGGGGTTGTGCGTTTGACTGACTAATCAACCGGAATCTGATCCAGCAGCCCAGAGTCCAAGGCGAAAAAAAACTCAGATGGACACATAGGCCTTGGCCTTTTTTAGGCAGTTGCACCACTGAGTTTAGTTTAAGCATAAAATCAAGTAATTTTCAGAATATGAAAAATATTCATAATAATTTGATATTTCTCTATATTGAAAAATTGTAATGATTGCAAGGCTGTTTAACTTAACATTACATTCCGTATTGCTGCTCAAAAAGTAAAAAATTTAGAAACTTGGAAATACTAAGGTGTGTAGAGAATGTACAAGAATTATGATGGGGGAAAAATTAGCATTCAATAATTTGTTTGGGAATAAATAACAGTTAAATTTGCTAAAAACAAAAAAGCTTCAGGAATGTAACTACAGAGTTGAAATTTGATGTGATGACCATTTGGAACTACAAAATTAATTTTTTTTTTATTTTGAAATTTCAATTTGGACAAAAGTAATTGCAATTTTAAGTACTTTTTGTAAATTTTTTTTCTCTTTTTTGGATAATAATTGTTTACCCATGGTTGTAGGAAAATGTCTCACTTTTGCAGTTTTCATTTTATGAGCTAGCAATTCACTTAATGACAAAAACAACAAATAGAAAAATAAAAAAGAGAGAATGAGATTAGATAAATTTCAAGAGGTTTGTCAAAATTTTAAAAAAATATAAAGAAAGATAAGAACTGTTCGCAATACAGACTGTTATATAATAAAAATTTATCACTATATCTTGTTAACAAGTAAAATTACACCTCATTTATAACTTCTTATTGTGTTGCACATTCTGTATTCCTAAACTTAAATTCTTTTTTTTTTTTTCAGATACAGCTCAATATTTTTCAAATCCAACTAACGTTTTAACATATTAATAAATGTACTCACATAAAATTATACTAATTATAGAATTTATAAATGAAATTATCTTTATTAAAAAACACATTTAAGAAAAACTGTAAGAGGAATGTCTTATCTTTTTTTACTAAAAGCGGATTCCAATTCAAAACATAATTCTCTAACTTTTTGTCCATCTATTAATATAAACACATTCACAATTATTCAATCTATTAATAGACAAAACAAAGAATTTCAAAAAAAAAAAAGAGTCATGTTTAAATAATCAAGATTTTTAATTAGGCCTGATCAAACATCTGCATCCAGTAAGTGCAGCAATGTAACTTCATGATAGCCAGTAATATTCTAATTTATTCATTTAGTTTTTAAACAAGAAAAATACACTTTTTATATATTTAAAAATAGGTAATAATTTTTTCTACTTAAATCTGCTGGTATCTAATTGTTTTAATGCATTGAAGAATTACGTGGTGTCATAACTTATTTTTCATGTCTCAATATGATTTTTGCTACATTTGATGCACATAAGTGGAACCTTTCTAAAATCAATATATCTTTTTAAACTTTCAACGAACTATTATTAAATATTATTAATTATTAAGTATCTCAGAAAGATAAGGAGAAGAGATATTATAAAAAAATATTATAAACTAATCCAGCAAAATATTTGAATGTCTTACCATGTTTGAAGATACAATGACTTAAGGTAATACGGCTTTTGAGCTAAAAAGTATTCTCTAAGTTTTTCTGCCTCTTCAATTAAATCTTCCTGCACAATAAAAAAAAAATTACTGAATAAAATTTAAATAAGCAACACAATGCAATAATTGAATAAAAAAATTAAGATACTGAAAATGTGTGTTTTGTTTTAAGAAAAATATACTAAAATGATATTCTTAGCAAACATGATAACACAAAAAGCACAAAAGTAATTAGTTAGAAATAATGTACATCTATTTAGAAAAAGCAGAATATTATTCTAAACCACTAATGAATAAGATTTGGTGGTTTTTCATTGAAATATTAAGATAAATGTCACATTTTCATACATTTTTTAAAATTAAATCTGCATAAAATAAAATTCTTCAGTAAAGTTATTGTTTGTTCCTCTTAAAATTTCCCCTCATAAGTTTTTGTAATTGAAATATTTTATACAACCAACAACATTTACATAGTTAAAAAGTATAATGTAAAGCAGTACAGAAAATAGTACATTATGATTAAAGATAAATAGTATTATACAAATGTTTATGAAACTACTTTATCGACTATTTTTAAAGAATTTTTAACAGTGCGATATTTTACAGTGTACTAATTCGATCTTAAATTTTTTTATTACACTGAAATATCTCTTTTGAACACATCTTCAACAAACTATTACTTTTGCTTGGATATGTCCCCAGTAATAATATCTAATGTGTAAATATAATGTTTATTAATTATATTGTTATATAAAGTATAACATAATGTGAAGACATATGTTTATTAAAAACATTTTTTTTTAATTATTTTTGTTACAGGAATTTAAATGTCTTTACTAAACAAATGTCATGCAAAAGTATATACATATTTATGTGAATGTGCGTTGATGCATGAAATTAAAATTCCCATATAGTATACCAATGTCATACTTTAGTCAGTTGCTGTGGATGCATGGTTATGATTCCCATCAAATGTTCTTCTGTGTTTGAGCGAATTTTCAGACTACGCCAATATCCTCCATCGTCATGCCTAACATTAGCTTCCAAAGGTGAATTGTTTACGTAGTTTTGAAAATCCTGTAATAAAAAATTTTTCAGGTTGCAATCAATTGTATTTGCTTTGCAATAAGGATTTTATAATTGAAATATGTTACAGAACTTTGATAAAGCAAACATTAAAGATATAAAATGGTGCCTGAATTATAAGCTATTATAAGAAGGATTTTAAAAGCAAAAAAGTTAAGAATGACTAAAATTTGTTGTAATTACTTTGAGGTGTTTAAGATTGGAAAAAAAAAGCTTATTGGCATATTTTTGTGAGAATTATTTACTTTTAGTATTTAGTATGAAATTCTTATTAGAAAGCAGGGATTAAAAAAAGTCAGTGGCCAATCTGAAGCACTGATCTGTTTTTTACATGTAGCTATTATTAACACTTTTAAAACATTTACTAACAATTTTTAAAAAAAAAATACAAATTTAAATTAAAAAATACAATTTAGAGGATGTGGAATGCCACAATTATAAAGAAAAATATTAATTTTGTGGCAAAAACATAAACCTAAAAAATAGAAAACTTAAAAAAACTAAACAGCATACTGTAATTTTACATAGATTACTAATGCAGGAGACCTTATCCTTATAAGAACAAAAAATAATGATTAAAAACAAATAATGAATTATTTTTAAGTTTAAATTCAAGGTAAATAAAAATTATAATCTTTATTTTTTCATTACTGCTAGTACTGCGAAGGTGATTTTGGATCACAAACAAATGATTTTCAATGACCCAGATTGCTGAAAGAGAAAAATTTTAAATGGACTTGAAAATGTTAATTTAAGATTGAAACATTCAATTTTTAGAAGCTTGGTTGGAATGTAATTATTGCTGGAAACTTTTACACACAGTTGATATAAAAACTTAGCCAAAACAAAAAGCTTTACGGTTTGCTAATACAGGCAAACAATAGAACTCATTTCAGGAGATAGCAAAATTTAAAGCTGAAAAGCTTTTAGAAAAGAAGAATTACCCTTTATGCATATACAGGGTGAATCTGAATAAGATGGCAAGATATTACTGTGTGATGGAACGCATCTATGTGAGCAATATTTGTCATAAATCAAACACAAGCAGCAAGATGTTAAAAGATAATTTTCCATTGTCACATTTAAAGAATTAACACAAGAATGGGAAAAAATACTCCAGAAATTTTTTTATTCATAGGAATATGATTGAAGTACAAAGAAATTGCTCACAAGAAAAAGATGTATTTGATGTACAAAGAATTGCTCGAAAAGATACTCAAAAGATTTTGCATTGCCATCTGACTTTACACCTGCGGCACAGGGAAAACAGTGAGCAATTTTTTGAGCATCTCTTCGAGCAATTCTTTGTACATCAATTACATCTTTTTTTTGAGTAATTTCTTTGAATAAAAAGTTTTCTGAAGTATCTTTTTGCATTCTTGTGTTAATTCTTTAAATGTGGTAGTGGAAAACTACCTTTTAACTTCTCATTGCTCGTGTTCCGATCATACATTCTAAGACAAATATTGTTCACGTGGATGCGTCCTATCACCCAGTAAAGTTTTGCGGTCCTGTTCAGACTCATCCTGAACAGTACATCCAAATTAAACAATGATAACAAATAAAATTAAACATACTTTAGCAAATTCTTTGTGGCTTTCTTTAATAATAGTCAAATCTTCTGGGCTTAAGCAGATAGAATTTGTACCATCTGAAAAAGAATAAATTCACAAAATGAGTAAACACTCAATAGTTTTATTTCAATTACATAACGTTTTTTAAAAAAATTAAAGAATTGATAAAAAATAAATGTCTGTCTTACAATTTTTGTTTCAATAGTTTACAAAATGCAGATATAGTTATATATATAAAGCTTAAAGTAATCTTTTTGTGTTACTTGTTTACCTAAATTCAGCTTCTTAATTTATTATTCAACATTCAACACTTTCTCAATTCCAATTAATTGTTCACTTCCTTTTTTCTTGTTCTATTTCTCGATTCAGTATGCATAAATTAACATTTTTGATTTTTCCCTTAATTGAATCGTGAGAAAGACCTAAATTCCCTCTACTTTTTAATGAACCAATTATAATTATTAATGTTTCCCTTTTTCCCTGATGTGAGACTAAGAACAATAGAGGGGAAAACTTGTACATTTTTCCCTAGGATATAAACTCAAGTACACAGATTTCACAGCATGACTTAGGCTTTGCCAATGCATGAATGAGCTTTAAATAGATGATCTGAAGACATTAAAATGACTTAAAGAAACACTTTCCATCCAACTGTCTGCTTACGTTCCTGAACACACACACACACATATATATATATATATACAAAATAATCTTAATTAAAATTTTATTTANATAGTATTATATTTTAAAAATTATTGAAACAAAAATTGGGAACAAATTTGTCATGTATTCTGTGCATTACATTAACAAACAATTTATCTTTTTAGCACAATTCTTAATTAAATTTTAAAAAAAATTTAATTATAGGGTTGAATGACACTCAAAATATTTTAAGTGAATGAATAAGTACAACGAAATGGTTGTTTTTTATAACAAGCTTTTTATGTGCTTATCTTTTGAATTTTGGTGATTTTTTATAAAATTTTTAAAGATTCATCAATTTTACTATCATGATTTTTGAAGGATGTTACAATTGAAAGTTATGGTTTTGGAATTGGTTGGAGCTCTAAAAAGAAATAAGAGATAAACAGATTGTGTTACTTTCTCTGTCAGTTTAGAAGTGAAGAACTTATAACTCCTTCATATCTAACAGATGAAGAGATTTTGAACAGTGTGTGAGGCACGATGATTAAGGCCAGCCAAGTGATAGTGTTTCCAAAAATGAAAACATGAAACTGCCAAAACCATATTGTCTTCATCCAATATCAATTAATAATTGAATACTAAATGCAAAGCAATGGAATTTTTCAAGTAAAGTAGACATAAATGTATACTATTCAAATAAATACTAGTTTATATTATACTCTAAATTGATAACTTGTATCCGTTTTTGGGCATTTTATTTAAATACTATAAAAATAAATGCTTTCTATTAAATTATAATATGTATTATTTTCATTTTTTACTTAAAAGTAAGAATTATAGGCTTTTGAACTCATCAACATTTACTTTTAACTAAAAAAATCCACCATAAAACAAAATTTTTTCTATAGTAACTTTTTCAGCTGGTCCCAATCCCATGTCCCTTGTAATAGACTAATTGAAGCAACTAAATTGTAACACATATTTTTCGCCGGTTATTTAATTTAGTGGATAGTAATTCATTTTAGTATAATATTAAGCCAAATAAAAAATAATATAAGAGGGAAAATGAAATGCAGATTTTTAGTATAACTTTTATTGTATCAAAATACTATTTCTCATGAATATTGACACTAAAACAAATATTTTGAAGCGTGTTTTGTTACTATAAATCTTACACAAAGAAAAAGCATTTTGCCCATTTTTAAATAGCACTAATATAATTTAACAATAACAAAATATAAAACAGTTAACTATTATTTAAATGAAAATTAAAATGAAGTATCAATCAGAAATTATAAAAACAAGTGAACATTTTACCAGAATTATTTCCAGTAAAGAATCCCACAGTTTTAGAATTACCATCTGGTCCAAGACCGACGCTAAATTCATCTTGATTTCTGTATGACTCAATTAGAGGCTAAAAATAACATCACAAAGATATTAATCATTTTAAATATATAAGACATTTTTTTTATTAAAAAATCTGCTACAATACATTAAAAAACCTCTAAACAGGAAAAAAAGGGTTTTTGAAAACAAAACAGGAAGATATTTTTGCAAATTTTAAAAAGGAAAGGATTGAAAAAAAAAATTAAATATTAATAGACATACAGCAAAAGGGAATATGGGTATTACTTTTATCCATTTAGCATTACCAAACTACATCTATCAATTTAGTATTTTATTGATATTTTAATCCTTAAGGTAGTATTCTCCAGGTATAACTCAGTTTAATAAGTCGAGTTTATAAGTATGAAAGGAGAAAATGATTACAGAGGCAGTTAAAAAAATTTTTTTTAAAGATTATAATACCAGTTTATGTGGTTGAGTAACAAAGGCAAAGTCATTTAGTACACATGCAAGACTTAATTTGGCTGATATAATTATAGGCTAAACATGTAAAATGAGGAAAATTAATGTTTGTTAAACTTTGTGTTAAAAAATTAATTGCTGTCATTCCACATTCGGTAACAAAATAAAAAAGGACAGCTAAAAAATTTCAATTAATCACTATTTTATTTGAGGGTTGGTGGGCAAAACTTCATGGTTTCTTAAAAAAAAAAAAAAACTTTTATAAAGAAAAGGGGTTGAGAGAAAAAGAGAATCATAGTTTAGTGAAAAACACTCATGCCTAAAAGTGCATAAATAAATAAATAATAGAAATAATTGAACCAAAGTTATACTTACAGATTGTACAGTTAAATCTACAGGACATGGTAAATTATCCTGTCCTAAAGCAATGGGAACTTTTAAAGCTTGTAGTTTCTCTCCAAGGTACCTGAGTACTCCAATCGACATTTTATATTTTTTCTATAAATTGAACAAATCATTAAAATGATAACTATTCATTTAAGTTTTAATTTGCTTAAAAGAATTTAAATAATATGCACAGTCAAACTTCTATTACTCGGATGTCTATAAATAATTTTTTGATAGATCAGAGTCATTTCAAATAATTTGCAAAAATACTGACTTCATCATTTGAACATAAACTTAGGTCAATTTATTACTTTAAGTTCAATAAATTTTTTTATTGATAATTTCGAGAAATTCTTGTTGCTTAAACATTAAAACACTGCAAAAACACATTTAGAAAAATAAAAACTTCCAATTTTCCAATTGATCTATGTAAAATAAAAATATTTTTTTTTTAATTTTATGCTTAATAAGTTCTATTTCCATATAAATTTTTTGGTGCTTCTCACACTATTGTATTAATATGTTTTGTTTTGGTTTATATTAAAACAGTTCTCCATTTTAGATAAGCATTCTAAAAATACATATTAAGGACAGTCATTACAGAAAACCCATTATACTGCAATTTTTTGTCATAAAATCCAATTTTAAAATGGTCTATGGTGACATTTCATTTGGTCAGACCTGACTGAGATTGTACAGCGTGCACAGAAAAAAGGAACAACTTCTGATCTAATCACACTCAATCTTCATGGACTAGAATTCAATCTTAATGGTCTGAAAGCCTAACCTTAAATATGCTAATAATTTAATACAGATATTTTTTCATACTTTCTATCCATGAACACACCCTTTTAAGAACAGGTTACAATTTTTAACCTCAAAATATAGGTTAGGATAGTTAATTATTTATTCTTTTTGCATAATATAAGAAGAAATAATATATAATTCTTTGTTAATATTTTATTTAATAATAATCAAAAAAATTTGAAAAGCAAAGTATGCAAATTTTTACATTATTTTAAATAAAGTGTTTTTAAACGGCAAACTAGAAAACTTTTATGAAATAAGCTGAATAGTTTTTGAGAAATCAAATTTTCAATATACGACTTTTTTAAGATTTGATAAATCAGAAACTATTGGACAAAATTTTTATATGTCACTTAAAATTTTATTCTTCTTAAAAGATGTACAAATACAACTTTCAGATCAAAATGTTTTTTTTTCAATTATTATTAAATAATATAAAAAATTATGAATAATTATAAAAAATTATTTTTTGCATTTTATCGTTAGATAAATGAATTTCATAATTTTGTGCAAAAAATTTTTCGATTCACTTACATTTTTTTTTTTTGAAATATGAGGAAATTATACAAAAAGTGAAAATAAAAAGTTTTTAAGTACTCCAAACTACCAAACTATTGAGAACATACTCACATAATTTGAGACTCAAACATTCTAATCCGACAAAAAGGTTTTGTTCAGTCAGAGAAAGTACATTTTTGTGCCTGATTCATTACTTAATTTATGGTTAGTACGAATCAATCAGCATAATTAAGATTACTCTTTTGAAAATAAATATTGGCACTTAGTTTCTGAAAATCTGTTCATTAGAACAAAAGTAATTTCAGGTGATATTTTTTTATTATACAAACTGTGTACAATTGTTCTTTATCAACAAAATAAGCTTTATTAGTTGCTACATAAAATTAATTAGTTCATAGGACCTGTTAAATTGTTGTAAGTTAGTAGCAGCCAATATTTAAATTACAACATATGATAAAATTTATTTTTGTTAAATCATTATGTGATGTTTTCAAAAATATGATAAGATTAAACTGTTGAATTTTAATTTTTTTTAAACCTGTAAACAAACAGTAAACTTTAATACATCATATTTTAAACATTTGTCATCATATATCACATAATAAATTTAAATATTTTGATGCTATAATATCTTGTTGCCACTTAATTTTTAAAAATATTTTTTTTTCCATAAGAAAGCAGAAAATAGGTTACAATAATCGTCTTAAAACTTAGTATAATTTTTAAATATTATCTAACTAAACTTTAAAATAAGTAAATGCTAAAAATTTATTTATGTAGTAAAAAATTATCAAGGAGTACATAAAAATACTAACCTCTAATTGATAAGTATATCGTACATCTTTGAAAGGAGTTATTTTTTCTTGAAGTCTGTAAAAAAATATATTATCAGTTATAAATGGTAACAGTAATTTCATTGTTAGTAATTTCTCAAATTTTATAAAAATTTTAATTTATAACAACTTGATTTAAAAATCAAATGAAAGATTAAAAAAGAAATAAGTAATTTTTTTTTACTTTTGTAAATTATAAATTTTTAGGTAAAAATATCATAAAAAAGAAAAATAAATACCAGACAAAATTTCAAACATGATTTTTTGCCTACCCAGATTAGTAGATGTTTGATTTTATTACAGATTTAGTAGTAGGTTTCCCAAAATTTTTCTCTAAAATTTAGGGTTTACAAAGTTAACTAATAATAATGATAAAAAAAAAAACATAAGAATTATGTTTGTTCTGAAAATCTTTTGAGAATTAAAAAGTTTGCTTAAATACTTAGCTTTTTGAATTAAAAGCAACACTATTTGTTTCAACTCTATATGAAAAAAAAATAATAATAATAAAAGTAAACAAAAAGTTAGCTCAACATCATACTGTTTTTCTTTAAGAACTTTATTTGAGAAACAAATTTTTTTTTAAATAGAGTTATTTTAAGCATTAGTTAACAAAATCTATGATATTTTAATACATACCTTAATAAAAACATATAGTATTTTTCAGGTAGATACCAGACAAAAATTTTAAACAAATCATTGCCAAAACCAGCAGTGACACATAAGTAATTAAAAATGCAACATCAAAGAAAGGTGCAAACTGAAATTTGAAACCACCTCCAAGCAAATTACTATATTTGTACATGCAAATGTTTGTGTGCATATGTTATGGTAAATGTGCGTGTGTATGACTAACCCCCTCACTGTCTAACGGCAGCTAGACATTATCAATGAGTCCATATACTCTCAAAAAATCCAGGGCAAGCAAAGGGTCCCTGGCAAAAGTCTCCTTAGAAATTTGGTCAATGTGTATAGTCGGTTATCAATAATACTAACCTGTCAATATTAATAATAACCAAATAAGCTGTTTAAAGTGAATAATTTAAGCGAATTTATCACATTAACCAATTATTATTAATAATAGCTGATGAAGTTAGGTCAATGTCATTCATTCACATTTTTATTTCTCACTTTGACCAAAAGGAGCGGTTATTATTAATTTTGGGTGGTTAAACCAATTCATCATATTGACCAAACCTCATTGTTTTTTATAATTAATAACCGATTAAAGATAATTATTCGCGATATTTCTCACTTTGACCAAAAGAAGCAGTCATTATTAATTTTGACTGGTTAGTATTAATAATAGCCGGATTTATCACTTAAATCGTAAGACATGTTCAAAGAGGCACACCCAAGTCCTAATGCTAAAACTGTTTAATCACATTGACCAAACTACATTGGTAATTATTAATAATAACCGGTAAAAGTGAATACAATTTGAGATATTTCTCACTTTGACTAAAAGAAGCGGTTATTATTAATATTGTCCGGTTGGTATTAACAATAACCGGATTTATTACTTTAACCATAACATATATTATATATTAATTTTGTAGCAAGTACAAGAACAAGACATTAGCACTTTGGCGACTACCATCGGCCTGATGCAAAATTGTCTGAGAAAAAATCCACTATGGTGAACTATTCTAATACTCAAGTAACAAAAAAAAGTAATATTTTAATTTTAAAAAAAACTTCATTAATTTAGCTTTTCTTCCATTGCAATTAGTTTAAAAATTATTCAGAAAATGGTAACAAAAATATTTTAAACTCTTACACTTCAGAGAAGAGAACCTGATCAAATGCTCAATTTAGATTAGTAACAATAACAAAAAAGAAAAAGGACTGAATAACTAAAATTTATACTTTTTATATACGTCATCAACAGAAGCTTTTGTTTTCTCCTGTACTTTGGAAGAGTCATTTGAGGGATCATCACTAATGATTACTTGATCAGTTGTGATTACCGCAGGTTTATTGAAATGTCCTTTTAAATTTTTCAGAATGCTTTGAAAAACATCATCTCCTTTACCATTTTTCCTATAATTCAATTTTAAAACACAAATATATGTAACAACTATTTTAAAAAAGAAACACATACATAAGAAACTAATTTAAAAAAAGAAATGAAAAGACGCATATGTTTCAAATTGCAACACACAATTAAGACTATAGTAAAATAGTTCTGATCCAAATTTTGCATTTTATAACATTTAATGAGTAGATAAAGTATGAATATTTAATTGAACAACTGTCTGAAAATATTTCTATTAGAAAAAGTGAAGATATTAAATAAAAGCTTTACTCACAGAGAATCACACTACATATAGTTAAAAATCAAATAATTAATTTTTTGATTGATAAAATAATATTTTTTTAAAAAAATGAAGAAGAAAAACCTCTTAGTAAGCTAATCCTATAAGAAAATATTAAAAGCTTTTGTAACAAATATATTTATAAGTGCAACAATAAATATAAACATTTTAAAATAAACAAATTGAAGATTTTCTTAATTGCATGAATGTTCTTGCCTATTAATATGTAAGGAATGTATTCATAGTAAATAACTGGATGCATCACTAACAAAATATGCAAAATTATTTCCTTAAACTAACCAATTTAATATTAAATAAATACAACAAATTGTAGTTCAATCTTCTATTCTATCTATCATTCCTAAAAAAAATATGAAGTTTCTGTTCTAAATCATAAAATGATGTTAAAAAGATTTATTTATATTTGTCTTGATTAGTAACAAATTAATATATATTTGAGAATAAAATAAATTTAAGAATATCATGATTTAAGAAATGATTAAAAAAAAATTACCACCAGTCTAAGTATTATCAGAATAGGTCAACTTACTCAGGTTGCATTGTATAATATATATATACAGTAGACTATTGATTAATAATGATAATTGAGTCAACTCTAATGCGGTAGCACAGTTAAACAGCTTTCAGCCTCAACTTAAGAAAGTTTTAATAATCATGATGATTTTATAGAAGAGCAAAACAAAATGAAGACATGTAGTACAAATGAAATGGAACTAGTAAAGGTGAGCAAATTTAAAAAGCTCTATGACTAGGGTTCAAAAATGCTGCAGAATGTAATCTTTCAGTTCGCTTATGCAACAAAAATTATAAAATTTAGCGGCTAAGCTGAGCAAGAATGATTTTGTGGCAAAAAATGGTTGGTTTCCAGTATTGGAGGAAATGCAATGTATTGGTTTCAACATAATTCAAATTGAGTAAAAAGTAGGTACCAACCAGCTAGCAGTGGAAAATTGGTTACAATGACCAGACTGACATCATTCATCAAAAAATGTGTACAATACCAACAAAACCACTTTGTTTTTTCACAGCACTAAAGGAACATACAATACTTTTTCAAGAATAAAAACCAAAAAGAGATAATTAATTATTTGTTTTAACTATGTATAACTTTTATATTTTAAAGGATTTTTAAATTACATAAATATAAAGTGAGTTTTTCACATTTTATTTTCCAACTCACTGTATGTAGTTTAAACTGGCATATTTATACAATTTCGTGAAAAGTATGACACGGTTATATATATACATAACATATGAAAATAAGCTAGGAAAAGCAGAGACAGCAAGAAAAGAATATCATGGTAACCAGAAACTGAGTTTTAGCAATTGAAATTTGTCGCCAAACCCAGGGGTCCCTGATTCTGAACTTTAACCAATTAATGTTGTCAAAATCATTGTGTCCCAAATTGATCACATTAAAAACTACTGTATTATCTTCAGTTTAAAGAGTAAAATATAACACTACATTTACTTTGAACATGAAGAAATTTAAAGATATTTTTTATAAAAAAAAAATCTAAATTTCAAAAGGTTTATTTTTGACACCTCTATTTACTTGTGATACGTTAGATTTTTAATTTTTTTAAAAAATTCATTGAAATTAGTTTGAATAAGTATGAATAAGCAGGGGTCTGTCCAGGGTAAATTTAATACCGTTTGGCGGTATCTTCACAAATATAACTTTAGGAAAAACGGTAGTTTCCCAAATAAAAAAGCAAGCTCTCATCCAAACCCTGTTCTCATTGCAATATATGGAAAAGAGGAACTTTTCTACCAGCTGTCTTCTACGAAAAGGTAGCACGTGTTTAGTCATATAGTAAATTTAATACCGTTTGGCGGTATCTTCACAAATATAACTTTAGGAAAAACGGTAGTTTCCCAAATAAAAAAGCAAGCTCTCATCCAAACCCTGTTCTCATTGCAATATATGGAAAAGAGGAACTTTTCTACCAGCTGTCTTCTACGAAAAGGTAGCACATGTTTAGTCATATAGTGCAATGTGGTAACACCATATGCACTTACACTATATCAAAGTAAGCTTTTTTTTCGGTGAGTTTTTTATAATGAAAGGACGAGGCTCTCCTTCTATAAACTTTAGAGGAAGTCGAAATTCAAACATTATCTTAAACACTATTGTAAATTTATTCTAACAGACCTTTATTTTTTAACAAGCAATTTTTTTTTCTGTGAAACTTTTTTCTGTATGACCGAGTTGAAAATGCTCTCATAATTAAAAAAAACTTTTAGTACTAGTACTGTTAAATGTATGTTTTTATTAAAGTCAAGTTGAAATTTAACCATGAACAATGATTTTTATGGATTTTGAAATCTGGATACAATTTTTAGCCAAAAATTTTACAATATATGGAGAATATATAGAAATTTACCAGTCTTGAATGATTTTTATTTGTAGTGACAATTTCAGAAAATATTTTCTTACTTTACCATATTTTGTGTTGATTTTTTAATATTTTTAATTTTCACAAATTATGTCTAAATTGTCACAAAATAGGCACCTCTAAAAAAAGCCTAGACAGACCCCTGATAAGTAATATACTCCTTATTAAGTTTTTTCAATTAATTGTTCATTGGAAGGTATGGGCCGGACGTTGATCATACAAGGGGTACAAGTCGTGCACTCTTAGAGTAGTACTTTGAAAAACAATTTCAGAGAGTAGTTTGAGATACATAGTGAGTTGAACTCTATAAACAATATCAGAATATTTTATTTCAATTAATTTATAACAGTTACAAATGCAAGTTGAAATTTACCAAAAGAAAGAATATAAATTATACCTACCCCGATCTAGAACCACGTAACTGACGTACATAATTTTTTTGTAGAGACAAACCACTAAGTTCCAAATTTCTTAATCTAATATGCGTTCTGCATAAATAAAAATTTCTAAAAGCGACTTCCATTTTAGCTAAATCTGATTCATATAAACTAACTTTCTAGCATTTATTTGAAATGTAAAGAAGTTAAGCAGCGATTTCCTGAATTCGTTTCTATTTGAAATGTAAATATTTACAGTCCTGTTGTAAAAAGAAACGTTTCCGGCTGCCTATTTTAGCTGTAAAACACTGATCTCTTAGGCCGATCATCGATCACCACCGCTTTCTTCTGTCATAATGTAGGGAAGCGTGACAATTTTATATATTTTTTATTTTATTTTATTAAAAGAGAGCACTAAAGTACTAAAGAGGCACTGAAAAGGAAGAAAAGTTCTTTCCATCGGTCAAGGTCGTAATAATTTTTTTTTCGGGGAGGAAGACTAGGGAGAACTAGGGTCTAGAATTTTTTTAAGTAAATCTCTTCCCAAGTAACACAAATTCTCTAAAAAATTATTTCTCCCCAATATTTATTTATTTATTTTTTTGGAAATTATATAACCTTAAAAGTAAGACGATTTGAAATAGTTACGGTTCCCAGCAGATCACCGAAGTCAAGCATCACTGGCTGCGTACAGTGAGCGGGTGGGTGACCACGTGGATTAATCTGCGTAAGGACCGAGGGTGTGCGGTATTGGTTCTCGTTAAACTGTTCTGCCGTAAAGTGCTCGACTTCGCGCGCAGGTCGTCGGGCTACCGAAGCGCGGGTGCCATCCCCTCTACAGAGGATCAAAATTGTGATGGCATGTCTTCGGATCATCCTCAGGGATGTTTCCCAGACCGTCGCCAATAGCCCATTGTGCAGCNAGCTTAATTAACAAACATCTTCAATGTTTGCTAAATGATAGTCTAAATTTATTTTAACATCATTTTTAAATTTTTTTAACGATAACAATCAAGCGATATGAATGTTTAAATCATGTATAATAAAATTCACCTTTTAATGTGATTTTAAAAGACATAAATGGTGAAGTAATATAATCTTATTGTGTTCAATATAATAATAAAATGACTTAATTGAGTAAGACTAAATAATATCTTTGTGCAACTGCAAATCTATTTGCAAGTTAAGAAATAGTACATCGTTAATGACAGTCACGTGTGCAAGATACTTCGACGTAAGATGTTCTAAAGCCTAGAGACAGTAATAAATCTGTCCAATCATAGACAGGGCATGAAATTTCAGATTTTCGCGCTCACTAAAGATTCGCCAATAATGAGATAAACCACTCGACTAAGGTAAACCTGAAAGAGGGTAAGTTCTTGGAATTTTGTTGCCACCAGGAAGATAGGACCTTCACTTCCTTCTAATCTTAGGCGAAAATCTACGTCACTACACTGAAAAGGGAGAAAAGTTCTTTCCATCGGTCAAGGTCGTAATAATTTTTTTTTTCGGGGAGGAAGACTAGGGAGAACTAGGGTCTAGAATTTTTTTTAAGTAAATCTCTTCCCAAGTAACACAAATTCTCTAAAAAATTATTTCTCCCCAATATTTATTTATTTATTTTTTTGGAAATTATATAACCTTAAAAGTAAGACGATTTGAAATAGTTACGGTTCCCAGCAGATCACCGAAGTCAAGCATCACTGGCTGCGTACAGTGAGCGGGTGGGTGACCACGTGGATTAATCTGCGTAAGGACCGAGGGTGTGCGGTATTGGTTCTCGTTAAACTGTTCTGCCGTAAAGTGCTCGACTTCGCGCGCAGGTCGTCGGGCTACCGAAGCGCGGGTGCCATCCCCTCTACAGAGGATCAAAATTGTGATGGCATGTCTTCGGATCATCCTCAGGGATGTTTCCCAGACCGTCGCCAATAGCTCATTGTGCAGCTCTAGTGCGACGTAAATGAACAACAACAACCCGCACTTTAAGAATGGAGCTTTTTAGTGATAAAGCACACCTTTTCACTGCTCAGTTTTAATTGTAAAACTCACCCACATACCTATGGTATGTAAAAACATAAAGCTAGCTTGACCCTTTTTTATCAGTCATTTGATCTTTATATATTATTCATTCATACCACGCAATGTAGTATGTTTTAGAAGATTGAGATGAACAATGGAAAGTTATATTTTTATGTCTTTATATGAAGCCGAAGCCGCACAAAGCCAAAGTTTGAGCCAAAGCCGCATTTTTGGTGCTCAAGTTTACAAAACATTTTATTTCTGGAGTAAAACTAAAGTGAAGATATGAAAGTATGCATAAAAATGTACAAATAGTACAGTGAAATAAAAAAAATAGCTTTGAGTAATTAGTTTCAGAACAATTAACCGCTCAACTTTTCAATACTCCGCGGGCCATTCTACAGCCCAGAGTTGGCCGTTGATTACAGTAATCGATTACAACTGTAATTGATTACAGATAATTACAGCTATGTAATCAATTACTTGTAATCACGATTACAAGTAATCAATTACTTGTAATCGTGATTACAACTTTCAAAAAATTTTGATTACAGCTGTAATCATGATTACAATTTTGATTACAGTAATCAATTACTTGTAATCATGATTACAAGTAATTGCGATTACAAGTAATCACAACAAAAACGATTACAAGTAATTATGATTACAAGTAATCAAAATATATGATTACATGTAATCATGATTACATGTAATTTGATTACATGTAATTGTGATTACTTGTAATCAAACTATACGATTACAAGTTATTACGATTGTATACTATAGTCAAATTTTTTATGTAAGTATTCATGTGTTTACATATTTTTATGTACATAGAATGTACGCACGCATGAACGTACAATTTGCGATTCCTATACATACAATGTATGCACAAACGTTGTTTGTACGTACAATATTCATAATTATATTGTAATATACTTAATGCAATGCGCATATGCTTAGTACATATAATTATGCATTTATGATACATGTACGCATGTATGTTAGTTTGTACAAAAAGGCAATGTTTTGTATCTTTGTATACATAGACAATGTATGTATGAACGTATATGAAAATAATGTTTATGCGTTTGCATGCTTTTATGTACTTAAGTGCATATATTGTATAAATTTACGATAATAGCACGTATATACAATGTACGTTTGTATATAAAATTGTACGTATTTGCGTACAATATGTAAAAATGTTATTTAAAGGTACAATATATGCACATAGTTGCGTAAATAAAATGCGTACATGTATACATGCATATTTATATGTACATCGATATATGTGCACGCAAAGTATGTACTTATGTACAACTTACGTATGTACTTGTATAACTACATACTTTGTTAATACTTATGCGCATGTAATGCATGGATGTACAAAAAAATAGTTAAATGCACAATGTATGCGTGTAAATTGCATGGCGTGTGAAAGTTGAGCTAAGTTTCTTCTCGTAGGGTTAATTAACGTGATGTTAATTAAATAGAGCTCCGTATCACACATGGAATTTGCTGAAACATAATTTTTTTTCGTCTACGTCCTTTATTTAACTTTGATTTGTTATTTGTTTATGTATTTTATAGTTACCGTGATATATTTTTGTTTGTGTAATTGGCAACTTCAATGCATAATTAGCTTGTTTATCCTACGTGGCTTCGTGCCTGTTTTTGTGTTCGGTAAGAAACATATAGTGAAATAATAGAAATCTTTGTCAAAGAATATAAAATGTGTCACATAAGAGAATTGATACTTGACGGGCTAGGCTTACTTGAAACGAAATTGAAAGAACAGTTGCTAATGTAAAAGAAAAACACGTTTCAACAACCAATCAGAATCGAAGTATCCACACTACGTCACTTGCAGGTATACCGTTGCTAGTGAAATTACACTTAGGTCAGCCTTAAAAATTAGCATCTATCACAGATCTGGTAAAATGAGCAATCTGGTGATTAATCCTGACTTACGAATAGTGAAAATTTGCGCCACGCCAAGTGATCTACACTCGTTGAGCATATGAAAAAGCGCCACCTTATTATAGATTACATTTCTTTGTCACGACTAACACTGCGATATTATCACCATTTCAATTTTGTTGCTTAATTTTTTGAAGGGCATTAAAATTAGCGTGGTTGTCATGAGTAGAGAATGATTATATCTAAATAATGCCAAGAAACTAAAGAATTTATTGATTTAAAAAATAAGAATAAAGTTTGTATCATTATATGAATAGTAATATAAATTCATAAAAAATTACATACGTATGTAACAAAATATGAATGTTGAATTTGGCAAATGCTCGTTAAAGCGTACCAGTGCTGAGGAAAGTACTCCTGAAAAGTTCCAGCAAAGTAAAAAAGAAGATAACTTCAAGTTTGGTCATCTTTATGATGGAGAGCATACCGAAAAGGCAAAGCACCTGCCATTTATGCTTATTCACCATACAGTTCCAATGGACACCGTCATTTCAGAAATGCTTCATGAATGGAAAATACATCTTCCAAAAATTGTATTGCTAATCATATCCGGATCCAAAAACCATTGTTCCGACTACCACAAAGTAAAAAAGCTTAAGTCTTTGCTAACAGAAGGATTGGTAAATGCTCTGCATACGACTGAAACATGGGTATGTTTGGACAGCCTTGACCGGGAATTCGGTAGGAAACTTGGAAAGGAACACGAAAAAGAAACATATCATCGGAAAGTCTTGATGAAAAGTATGCAGAAACGAGATTCCTTTTATCCAAACAGTGCTTTGATCGGTGTGTGCGCCACCAACAAGGTTAATGTAGTTGAAAAGTTTGGATTGGAAGACAGTGAGGATCACGGTAAAGAAAATGGCAACTTAAACAAGCATTTGAATTATTACATATTTGTTCAGGCTAAGAAAGAACAAAGTAAGAGAAATGAAGAATTTGTTATTTTGAATTTTATTAAATATCTTGGACAAGACAAAAGGATAGGAAATACTGGAGTCCAGGATGACAGAAGTATACCTATAATGGCGATTATTTGTCAAGGTGATTTAGAACAAATTGATCTTGTTCTAAAGTGTATGAAAAATAATTTTCCTGTTTTGGTAATTCAGGGATCATGTGGATTGGCAAATTTATTATTTTTTACTTATAGCCAGGTGATTCGCCGCCCAGAGAGCACAAACGAAGCTGAGTATTTAGAAACAGTTGTAAAGCCCCAGGTTGTTCTAGAAATAAATCGGCATTTTCCTAATTTATACAATTCAGGAGTTTCAGACAGGAAACTTTGCAGTAAATTGATAGACTGCATAAGATATTCAAAACAAGGGGATCGCGAATTTATGACCATATTGAAACCTAGTGATTTAGAAACCAGCAGTGAATCTTTAACTACTTTTCTCTTAAAAGCGTCTCTCAAAAGCCAACTTGAAGTTCAAAGTAAAGATTTCCACCATGTGAAAGATAATCTGCTTTTGGCTATAGACTGGAATTGCCCGGAAGCAGCCAGGACAGAAGTGTTTTCCAAAGATGTAACTAGTAAATTACACGCTGATCATGAAATGTTTGCCAAAGTTTTAATTGCGCCAAGAAGGGAAGAATTTGTAGACATGTTCTTAAGCCAAGGTTTTAAAGTTCATAAATTTCTTGATGGTGATACATTAACTAATCTTTTTGCCGTTTCTTTGAATCGAGAGTATTTCAGAACAGTGATTTGGGAAACTGTTTTTGGACTCGGAAAGACAGCAGTTATGTCCCGACATTTTATAGACACTAAATTAATAAAGTTGTTACAAAAGCTAACAAGCATCCCGGACATTATCAGCACTAAGACTTTAGATCAAAACGCGAGAGGAATGTATAGTAAATACTCATCTACACATGCAGAGCAAAAAGCTCTCGTTGCATTAGCTATTTGGAGTATATTGTCATACCGAATTAGTCTCGCTAAAGTAATATGGAAATACTCAGCTCAACCAATTCATTTGGCTCTTGTTTATTCAATAATTCTTAATAAGACCCAATATTCAATACCGGAGTTTATTCTGAATGATGAAATAAAGAAAGACGTCATGGAGTTTAACTTGATGGCTGCGGAATTAATGGCTCTCTGTTACGAAAAAAGCACCCAACGTGGTTTGAATTTACTGCGTGATAAGGACGATTTATGGTCATTTAAGCCTCTATTGGAAATAGCTGCTTTTGCAAAGAATCGCCAATTTATTGCAACCGAGTGCTGCCAGCTATATTTGGATAACCAATTAAATGGTAGGCTGATCATAAAAGATTTGCCTTATGGAGATTTTACAGTACCTAAGGGCGTAAAAATTATTCTGGCTGCATTATTTGTTTTCCCAATGTGGTTTTGGGTTGATCCACCCGAAGTTGAAACAGCATCAACTGAATCAAATGAACTGAAACAAATTGAAAATAATATTGAGAAAATTGATTCGAAGACTTTTATAAAAAGGGATCTCGGTTCTGCACTTTTAAAAAGTATTTACAATTTGTATAGCTCACCAATATGTAAATTTTGGTTATGCCAAGTGTTTTACGCGATATATCTTTTTTTATTCAGCATTGCCGTTTTGTGGCCTTCGTGTGGAAATCCACGTTTGGATTTCTGGATGAGTGTATGGACAGGAGTAATTATTATCGATGCACTATACCAGATACTAATTTTACCAGAGAGTGCTTCTTTAAAGTTAAGGTACATCGAAGTTCTATGGATGATAATATTTTTCTTATGTTACACAAGTAATAGAGTGCTAATGTATAAAAACTTCATCACTCCATATGTAATAAAAGTCATATTATGTTTGGCATTATTATTTTTCTTCTATCGAGTGATTTTTCGAGCTTTTACCCTTTCACCAAAATTAGGACCTATGTTATATCAAATCAAAAGAATGGCACTTGTTGATTTCTTAGGTTTTATCAGAGTAACAGCGCTCATCATGTTCAGCAACGGTGTAGTGATACACGCAATTATCTATCCGGATTACCCGTTCACGTACGAGCTTTTTAAAAGAATATTTTACAGAACTGCACTATCCCTATTTAAAATGACAGTACCTGAACTTGGAACAGTTCACCCGAAGTGTATAAGGCTTAAGAGATCTCCAAACGGACTCAGTTTTTATGGACTCCCTGATTACGAGTGCAGGGTTGGGAAATACTTTTTACCAGAATGCCCGAATCCAGGAATCTGGCCTTATGTTTTCAGTTTTCAATATTTCCTTTTACTTCGCATTGTTCTTTTGACATTATTAATGGCGTTATTTAGCAATACGCAAACGAGATTGGCAGAAGTAGGTACTGAAATTTGGAAATATCATCGTTATCAAACGATTTATGACTTCTCCAATCGCGTTGCTTTTCCAGCTCCTTTTAGTCCAATCATGTACTGCATTAAATTCTTCAAATGCATTTATTCTTTCCTCTGTCGAACAAAAAGTAGAAAATGTCGAGCAGGAGCTATGAAAGAAGAAGATTTACAGTATTGGAAGGATCTAACTTCAGATTACTACACGCGCAATTTGAAAGAAACCGTTCGCGTTGAAAATTCTTCGAAGTCTCGTATAGAAAAATGGATTTTTTTAAAAGAAGAAATTGGCAAGCAGAAACTTATGATAAGAAATTGGCAAGGGCACTTGACGGACATACAGATTCGATCAAAACACACTTATAAGGTCTTGAGAAACAGTCAATTACAAGTATCTCTTAGAAAACGACTAGGAATGGAGAATGTACCACAGCTATTTTCCAGGATCAGTCCATACCCCAATACACAGGTATTCCGATTTCCGGTTTCAGATAAGCGAGTGCAATGGAGCAACAGTTGGCAAAATTACGAACCAATTGCTTATACAATGCCGAAAGAAGACTTTTCGCCCGATGTACGCCCATACGTTGATATTGACATACAGAGAATTAGAGAAGCTGAAGGGGATGACTTTAAAATGCCCATGTTTCAGTGGAATACATCGTCCGTCAGTCCGGTAGGTATCAGTTATAATCGCCTGTCTTGGATTCGAAATAAATTTGGCAACCCTTTCATGTACAGTCTGGATACCGATGACTTGCCAATGAATCCCCAGGGAAGAACAGGTCTCCGAGGTCGTGGTTATCTTCCTCGATGGGGACCCAATCACCATATCTACGTTATTGTCACTCGTTGGCAAGAAGTTGAGTCAGCGTTTTATCATCAATATCTTGAAGTTGTTTTATCCACTAAAGATGATTTGTTTTTACCCGGAGGTTTTGTTACGTCTGAAAACCCCTATTCCACTATACGAACGATTTTTCAAGCGATTGATGAATGGTTTTCGGAAGAAGACATGTTGGATTTTTTTAAATCATTGTCGAGTGATATTCATGTTACCAAAGCCAAAAATAGACGCGCTTCCATCCACGGTAAAACTCAGTCGGCAGGTGTTGAAGAAAATGACGCAATGATTTCTGAAAGAGTTTTGAAAGGTTATCTAGACGAAGCTGTTAACACAGATCAGGCATGGTGCGAAGCTGAAGTTTGGCATGTTCATTATGATGGTTTATGCAAAATTGATCACTATTTTGATAGTGATTTTAAATGGGTCGTTTTGAATGAAGAAATTCTGAATAGAGTTCCACCAGGTCAAGCTTATCTCTTGAATCACGTTGCAAAGAAAATGAAGGCTAGTTTAGATGTCTTATAAAAGCAGCTTTCTAAGAAAGGATACTTTGTCATAAAAATATTGTAACCATTTCAGAGTTAAGTCATAAATGTATCTCCTATCTGTATTTCTCCTATCAAACACTCTGTGGTTATTTTGAAAATTATTTTAGAGTTTTAAGTTAATTATAAATGCTCTCTCCAAAAATACTTAGGTATTAGTAAATATTTAGATGTATGTTGACCAAAAATTCTTCAATAATGCGACTTTTTCTTTTGTGTATATAATTTGATTTTTATTTGATATACCCAACTAAAAATAACAATGGAAACACCGTGGTTAAGAGACTGAACTGTCATTGCGAAAAATCAGGGCTCTATCTTCAGTGCTGGCTTAAAGCTTATCCAGCGTAACGATGGTATCAGCTACTATGGGAAGTAAAATCGGTCGGTGCGCAATGTTAGCACCCCATTGAGACTATTAATTTATTCATTTAGAGTAAACTATGAAATTTCAAATGCCTGAAAAATGTGTTCAGAATATGAAAAAGCATACAAATCAGTGCAGAATTACTTCGCCACTGAGTAATCGTGTAATATGTTTGCATTTTGATTTCTTTTTTTTCCCTCAGCATTTGAAATTTCGTGGTTTACTCTAGATTAACCTGAATTCACTTTTTCCTAGACATTAAATTTTAAATTAATGTAGGATTTACCACAGTATAGCTTCCGCTGATCCCTAATTGATGTGTATCATCTTTATAACGACGGTAGTCGAAAGTAAACGAGTTTGGTGCAGTTCTCGTGATAGCCAAACAATGAGGAAACCATGTTTGTAGAGTGTTAATACTCGTTCTTTTAACGAAGGTATCACTCTCTCCTGAAGAATTACTATCTTGCATGAACTCTGGAGATTTAGCTCAAGAGTTCCTGTGATATGGATGACTGACCATGTGAAGCTAAACACAGATGGTGCTAGAGGTTAAAAAGACTTCCGGGGGTTACTACTTCTGAATGATTTGTACTCCTAAATGAGAAAAAGCGCGCCATCCGATATACTAATAGTGTTTACAATATACAAGGGCGCCGGCAGCGGGGTGCAAGGGGGTGCACTTGCACCCCCCCTGGCTTTTTTTAAACAATTAAAGAGTATAAAAAATTTTTTATTAAAAATATTTTTATTCAAAAGCAAATAGTTAAGCAATTATTGATACATAACAATTAAAAATTGTTTAATCAAACAAGAATTGTAATAGTCTTGTTAGCTGTCCAAATCTGTTTATAACATTTTCGATGAATTCTGAGTCATCTTTGAATATTTTCTTATGCACACTGAGCATGCACAAACTACTTAATCTTTCGTGAGACACTGTAGTACTGATTCCATGTTTTCATGCGTCGCATTGTACTAAAAATGCATTCAATAGTGCACGTAGTAGCTTGAAGAGTTAGGCCAATTTTGGTTGCCTCCGCTACAGCTGGATAAAACGGTGTGGCCTCAATATCTAAATCGATGTTCTATTCGAGGGATTCATAAGAATTTTCTCTATTCCTCCACATTTCGGATCACGTAAATTCGTAATTTTTTAAAATATCTTGTTAAGAATGAAGAAATGTACAGGTATAGGAAAAAATAATAGGAACATCTGTGAAAGAATGGAGTCGTTCTCGACCGTCCAATAAGCGGCGGGCACGTGTCGCAAGAATGTGCCACCTAGTGGTGATGAAAGGCAAGGTATCTGTCTAGCATTTGTCAGTGTGAGATTTGCAAGAGAAAAATCTGTTTCTAGCAAAACGAGATTATGTAGGACCTTAAAAGAGGCATGATAATCGGAGCTCGCCTGGCTGGAGCGTCCGTGTCCAGAACAGCGAACCTTGTAGGTGTTTCAAGGACCACTGAATCAAGGACTCTGTCGGCATACACAAAGTTGGGTAAGGCGTCTTCGGTGAGGCACAACAGCGGCAGGAAGTCGAAGTTGTCAGACCGTGATAGGCGGGTGTTGAAGAGGATAGTCGCTCGAAAACGCAAGACAACACTGCCGGTGATAACATCCGAGATGAATACCCACCTTCAGAACCCTGTATCCATGAAAACTATTCAACGGGAGTTGCATGCTGCTAACATTCATGGCAGAGTAGCTATTCCAAAACCGTTAGTTTCAGCGCGGAATGCTTTGAAGAGACTACAGTGGTGCCAAGACCACCTACAATGTACACAACTGCAATGGGAACGAGTCATCTGGTCTGATGAATCCTCTTTTGCCCTATTCCAGACCACCGGACGTGTGTTCGTATGGCGAACGCCGGCAGAAGCATTTCATGTTGACTGGCTGGTTTCAACCGTGAAACATGGAGGTGGTTAAGTGATGGTGTGGAGCGCTATATCTGCCCGTGGATTGGGGCCTCTCGTTGTCTTGAGGGGGTGGTCAAAGGGGACCATTACCGAAGCATTCTTGCAGATCATCTTCACCCTATGCTTCATACTCTCTTTCCGGGAGAACGTCCTGTGTTCCAAGATGACAACGCCCCTGTTCACACGTCTCACTGTGTTCAAACATGGTTAAATGAGCATAATGATGAAGTGGACCATCTAACGTGGTGTCCTCAGTCCCCTGATCTCAATATCATTGAGCCTTTGTGGGGTTTTTTGGAGAAAAAAGTCCGTGCTCGGTTTCCTCCTCCACGCACACTCTCTGAACTCGAGACAGCCCTGCAAGAGGAATGGCTGCAAATTCCAATGAACTTTTGTTCAAGACCTTTACTTGTCAATCCCTCGTCGAATGCAAGCTGTCATTCAGGCCAAAGGTGGCCATAACTCACAGGTGTTCCTATTATTTTGTTCTATACCTGAATCTTGAAAAAAATTAATAGATGGAAGTATATGAAATAACAAAAAAAAACATAATAGCAGAATATTTAAAAAAAAAAGAAAAATTGGAGGGGGGTCAGTTTGTTAGACGGTTGCACCCCCTTTTATATTATTCTGCCGGCGCCCTTGACAATATAACACATTTTTTCCAATTTAAATTGACACGAAACAGGCAAATGAATTCGAAAGACTTCGCAAATAAAGTATGATGCAACCGAAAAAATAGCAAACGATATTTTAGACACATATAGCCAAATAAGGGACAAAGCTCAAAACATGGCAAACCTTACGCCCTATTTTCGTTTTCATATTAATTTTCTTAAAGTAGTTTTAAGGCCTGTTTACACGATTCAAGTTCACGGACGAAGATTTATTGAAATTGATGGAAACTTGTTTTGCTTGGAGCTTTGAATTATCCAAGTTCTTGGTCCAAGTCCTTGGATTTCCATCCAAGTTTTTCCCCCCTTAACCAATCAGATTCTTAAGTTCTGTGACAACATAAACAATTAAATTACAATAATAAAACTTCCTAGAATATTAAGTCAGTTTCGGAAGTTTTCTAAATTTCTTCCGATTTTATAAAGCTTGTACAGAGTTTACATTGAGTCAACCATCCAAATTTCGACATTTTCCACCAAACATTACATTTGTTTTTCTCTCACTCAAATGAAGTGAAAAATATAATACTAAGTGAAATTAAGTTCTAAGTGACATTTAAGTAAATTTGTTCGAAAATTTATACATTGACAACGGAGCACAAAGAGTATACGCCTTGTCTTTGTGTCTTGCTTGCAAGTTTAATGTAGCAGAATCAATAATTCCCAAATTCATTTAAATATTCACATGATTGGCGCTTTAATTTTAAGGTAGGTAACAAGTCGAGTGTTACCAAAAGCATTTGGACTCTTTTTTTCCACTCTGAAAACGCAGAGGTTAATATTTAAATAACTCCACCCACCAAGATTTAAGAAATTTAAGCATTTGATTAAATGAATGTTTTTAAGTTTAATAAAATAAAAATTGTGAAATCTGAACCTTTAGTTCTAATTCACTAATTTTCAAGAACTCTAAAATTCTAATTTTCTGAGATTAGAATTTCTTCCGATTTCATAAAATTTTTAATTTTCTGAACACTAAGGAATCAGAAATTTTTCAAAAATATCCTTTAAAATCTTTCACCATTTCTTAAAATATTAAATACAACTTGCTGTTAGTTTATTATTATTAGTAGTTTCATTATTGAGAAGAATCAAAGGCGGCAATTACGGATCTTTCCTAAAATGTAGGAATCAAAACTTTTTTATTCTCCATAATATTTCAGAATCAAATAAAATATTTATACCCCTCTCAAGAGCCGCGGCTGCTTATAGCGAGTTCGCCTCTCAATGAGGTGGCCCAGGTTCGAACCTGCGCTAGCTGGTTGATAAGAGTTCTGCTCCTAGTTCATAATGGCCACAGTGCTGAAGCAAAAACAAACTCAGTGGCAGATGAATCATAGGTTAGGACCCCCTTGCCGTCATGATCGTGGGAAGTTTTCGTGGTTTTCCTCTCCATGTCTCGCAAATGTCGTATAGTTTCATTAAAAAGCCCTTCAAGAAGGCTAGTTTGTCTCAATGCTTTACCCACAAGTTCCCTTGCCTTCTGTGATTCCACGGCAAAATGACAAGGTTACCGAGTCCAATCATAGTATGAAATTCAATCAGTCAATGTATTGAATCAATTTAGTTTTGCTTGCTTTTGGTTTCTTTTTTTTTTATTTAGAAAGGATACGGAGTTTATTACTGATAGTCGTCAAGTCAGAATCGGATAGGATGTTCAACTCTGGTTATAAAATACCTTTAGCAGAAGCTATAAATCATATTAGTGCAATAAGCTGAACAATCACAAGAAAAATTTATTTTTAAAAGAAATGTCAATTACATACATTTTTGAAAGAACAACAAGATAAATACAAACTGCTACTAAAATTTTTTAGACAGGGATTTAAAATACTGAAAAGAGTATGTAAGCTTTTCTCCCTTGTAGAAATGCTTAATTGTAGCATTTATTACCAGTTGGAAGGAAATGAAAATAGCCCATTGAATTCTCAGTCTAAAATGCTCAGTTCCGTAATAAAAAAGATACACAAGTGTTGATAAAATGTGGAGAAGTAAAAAACACACAGTGACCGTCGTTTGATCTAGAACACTACTTTCCCAATCGATGGTAATTAAAAGCATGCTACTCATGATGGAATAAAAAGCAGTCTGTGAAACGAATTCTTCGGAATCTGTTTCCACACAAAAAGCAGCTGAGCGAAGTACGTAGATCAAGTCTACTAAAAAACTCAGCGGTTGGGAAAATGATACGTAGATGGGTAAAGCTAGCACTGCTATGTTTGCATTCCACAATATACACAAGGAAAGTGCGAAACACAGTAAGAAATTTAAAAGCAAGATGGCGAAACTGGTTACGAATGGCGTTTCAAGAAGCAATGTGATGAATGTGCAGCCCACCACGAAAAGTCGATGTGACATGTAACTGTTATCGGTGGCGTACAGACTTTTGTAGGTGTTTAAGGCAATAAAGAGGATCGTGCTTATTTCCAATGGAACGGACCATATGGGTTGAATGTTGAGTATCATATCCCGTATCCACATAAAAGAATTGGGAAGAATATTGTTTGGCCTGAAAATTAAAAAGATAAATTAAGATGAAGTTTAAAAAACTCAAGTTTACATAAAAAATAACATGAAACCTTTAAATGATAAGCTTCTTGTATATTTTGGGCTGAAAATAAAGCATTAGGGAGATTTCGCAACTTTAGTTTCCGTACCCTCCCATCAAGTAATTGCGCATTCGTCGCAGTTCTGGTGAAATGGACATGCACTCGTGAAAAAAATATCAAATTTACGTAAGTGAAAATAAGAGATTTTGCAAAAATCCGTAAATTAAAAACGCTAACGTTGTGGAATATCATTTTAACTTGGACCACAAAATCAAAAACATTTAGAATGGAAGCAGACTATTTCTTTAAAACTGTGGCATACGATTCAAGATGCTTTACACTATGTAAAACTGCAGATATGTGAACAAAAAAATTTGGTAGATCATAGATTTTAATGAATTCAGCGATTAAGAATGCAGTTTATTATTAATATTTCTGAACTTCTATTATTTAACTTCTTTTAACTAAATTGTATTGGTAAAATAAATGTAATTTATAATTTTGAAATGACGAAAATACAGTAGAGTCCCGATAATCCGAGCCCCGGTTATCCGAGTTTCCGCTTTAACCGAGCTATCAAATATTTTAAGGTTTTTTTTTGTTCTAGTTTATTTTTAAAAATATCGCCGAAAAATAAATCTGAATTTTATCTCCCAAACACTCGGGAAAACAAAATCTAACAACTTGATCCCATGAAATGATCATTAATATCGCCAATAATGAAAATGAACCTAGCGAAGATGATGAAGACAGTGACGATGAAAATCAACATATAAAAATCTCTCACACAGATGAACTTAAAGCTGTCGAAAATGCTACTGAATACATAGAACAACAAAAAGAGGCGACACCAGCCTTCCTGCTATCCCTAAAAAATGGCGAAACATTGCTACAGAAAAGCACCAAAGTTATGTAAAACAAAAAACGATTAAGGACTTTTTTTAAATAATAACTCTTTAATTCTCGCAAAGTATACTTTTTAAGTTTTTTCAAGTAAGCTTTTCAATAATAATAGGAATTGTACGTGGTATACTCGTATAAATTTTATATTTCTTAAATATATTACATTTATACCTTTTCTTTCTTTTTTTATACTCTTCGTTTTAACCGAGTTTTTCAGTTATCCGCATTAACTCGGATAATCGAGACTCTACTGTATCTCTAGTTTCTTATGGAACTAGTGCAATGAGTCCACTTAGACAACCATAATGTTACCAAACACGATTATTTTTTTATTGTATGAACCAATGGTTGTAAGATCACATGGTTCGTTTTTAAATTTCTTTAATAAATTTTTTCAAATTTGCATTCCATGTCCACATTATTATTTCGAAGTTAGGCTTAAACCGAAAACATTAATAGCTATAAACATGCTTGTTTTTTGTAGCGTAAATCACGCCAACGTAGCAAAGATGCGTTGCCTCTAAAATAGACGTGAGCATGCGCAATTGCTCCACCAAAGAGTTAATCTTATCTTCCAAGATAATGCTTCTCTTCAAGTTTTGGATTTTGCCGTGGTTTCAAATTATTAAATAATTTCTATGTCTTACAATTTGAAATTTATAGTTAATTATTAAAATTCATTAAAAAAAACATTAATTTGAGACGTTAACTTTGAAAAACTAGTTTTATAACTTTGTGAGAAAATGCAACTTATTTTTACGCAAAGTTTGAGATAAGATTGCGTGCAAAAAGTAAATTAACATTAAAGGAACCAAATTTCAAACAGCTCTCCTCTAAGCTATTGGAACTACATTTTTCAAATTGTGGTTGCATCCAACATTTCGATGCTCGAAACCGCGTGATAAAAAGGCATTCAAATAAAATGTTTTTGCTCCCGATTTCATAACTTAAAATATCGATTTCACTGCTTAATTAGCGTGAAGTATATGTAGCTACACATTTTAGATTACTCACAAGATCAAAAGTTAAGGTTTTTCCTAATTTGAGTACTTTTTTAATTTTTTTTTTAATTTGTTTTTTCAATTGGTTTGTTTAATTTGCTTTAATTACGTGCGAGTAACTTCTCTACTACCAAGATTTTTAAATTAAGTTCTATCCTTATATAGTATTTCATAAAAAGTATTTTTGAGATTAACACATTTATGAACCGACATGGAAATGACGTAATAATAACAAACAGAGGTTACTGATATCTCATCAATTTATCATGCGTATTATCAAATAGGTAGGCATGCGAATTTTATTAAATCTCTTTGACAAATAATTATAGCAATAAAAAGGGTGTTTCTATGGAAAAATTTATACCTAAGAATTTTTTTTTCCGCAAAAAGTTTAGTTTTGTCATTGTAAATGATACTTGGAAAATGAACTACTCTCGTCTGAGCGCTTTATCTTTTTCAAAAGAAAATTGGATTGATATAAGGGATTAAATTGAATTTCTTCTAAACAGGCAAGTAAAGCATTTTTCTGATTAATTTCTTCACATAACATTAAAAAAAAACAAATTCAGAGCAGACTGAACTATTAGTTTAAAAAATTATCTGGGTTTTATTCACAAAAAGTACATTTTTGTAAGTAACAATTTACGAATCTGACATTGCTATCTAAACAAGTGAGGCATATTTTGTCTCGCTGAATCGAACGAGACTTTGCTGAAGTCAATAGAACGATATAAAAAGAATTTTATATACGAAGAATATTATTTTTAACATGCAGCACACTTTACTTTGCTATTTATTGGCTATCAAAATCTGTTAAGTATATTTTCTAAAGAAATTTTTCATGCCGAATTTAATGAGAAAATCCAAGTCATTCTGATAAATAGCCATAAAACTATAAGGGTTTTTCTCACTGTTACAATCCAAGATTAGTACTTTTTACTCAAAAACCCTATAGCCAACTTATGAAATACACCCTTGTGCAAATTAATTGAAGCAAACTTTTTTTTCCGTGTTTTTTAAGGAAGATGTTTTGGGGTTGTTTCGGTTACAATGGGGTTGGATCTTTGCAGCCTATTGACGGTATGATGCGTTCTGAACAGTACATTACTATTCTGGGTAAAAAAGTTGTTCCAGAGTTGAAGAAACGATACCCTGATGGAACAGGGATTTTTCAACAGGATTTAGCTTCTTGCCATACGCTCAAAATTGTCAAGAAATTCATGTCTGAGAATCAAATTGAGACATTGGAATGGCCAGGGAACTCTCCGGATATCAACCCAATTGAGAATCTCCGGGCCATATGCAAGAATCGCCTATTAAATATGGACTGTACAATTATGGAGAAGCTAATCACGGCGTTAATTCATGTGTGGTACAAGGACACAATTATAAATGACTGTAAAAAATTAGTGGAATCCGTGCCGAATCGTGTCCAAATGTTAATAAAGTGTCGTGGGATCATATTATGTCATACCTGCCAACTTTCACTCTTTCTGACAATGGATTTTCAGAGTGGTTGTAAAACAATAAACGAAAAACAATCTGATTCTAAAATATGTTTATATTTTGATCCCGTTGAAATTCGCTTGTGCAAGGATTATTACGCTTTTATATATTTAATGCAATTATTAATATGTAGTGGTGGTCAAACTAATTTATAATTATCATTATAAATCAAAAAGTTAATTGGAATAACCTGAGTATTGCTACCACTTTGAATATGAAAATAAAATCTTCCGGAAAATCCGGAAGAGTTGGCAGGTATGTTACGTACAAAAATTTTTTGAATTTGTATAAATTTAAATAAAATAGCATTTTCTCTTAGTTTTCTGAATTTATTGAGTGTGTTTCAATTAATTTGCACAAAGGTGCATTAGCCTTTTTTATTTATGTTTGATCACATTCTATTAAGCGTGAACAAAAAATTAAGAAAATATGGATCAATGTCCGGCGATTAATAGCAAGTACAGAGATGTATATTTTTTGTACACAATTCCTCATAACTTCTAAAATTATTAGTCTGTTCACCACGGAATTATACTCATTTAATTTAGCGTGAAAAAAATACTGAAAAAATACAAAATAAACTGTCTCAATTGTTTAAAATCAATGCCAGACGATTGATAGCAAGTACAAAGACGTATATTTTTGTCCGCAATTCCCTTATAACTTACTAATTATTAGTCTGTTCACATTTGAATTACACTTTATAAATTCAGCGTGAAAAAAATACTGTGGAAGCGATGCCTTACTTCAGTTTCTAACCGAAATTAAATTCTCCCTCTCAAATAAACTCCATTTTTNGACTGTACATAGATGTATATTTTTTTGTACACAATTCCTTATAACTTCTAAAATTATTAGTCTGTTCACCTTTGAATTACACTTTATAAATTCAGCGTGAAAAAAATACTGTGGAAGCGATGCCTTACTTCAGTTTCTAACCGAAATTAAATTCTCCCTCTCAAATAAACTCCATTTTTATGAAAATAGTTATTTGAGAGTTTTTTTTAATAGTAAGGAGTTTTTTATTATCATTCATAAGGACATCAAAACTTATACGTGAAAAAATATTTTTGGCTCTTGTTTTTCCTACGAAAATGTAATATTTCTGGATTTTCTTTACAAATGAAACGAACAAGAGAAAAATTACGGAATAGTATTAATACTAAATACAATGATTTTCCACGATGTACTCTGGAAAATATTAGATAGACTTTACCAAAATATATCGTCTATATAACTAGCTTCCTATATATTATACAACATTTGGTTATTAAATATCTCTTGAAAAGTATTTAGACTTTTCTTTCCGTTTGTATGACTTTTCAAAGAGATTGCCTATGGAAAAATATAATTAGACATACCTTCATCCTAGGAGTTTTTAATTACAATGAAAAATAAGACATTTGAGAAATGCAATACAAGCAAAATATATAAATGTTTGTGTCTATCGGATCTTGTTTCATGACAAAAATGTGAAGAAGTAAACCTTAAAAATATCATTTAATATGAGAGAAATAAACTGTTTCCTTTTTTGTTAATAATTAAGAATAACTGAAACTGTTAAATTAGTTTAATTGAATTTTTTTAAAATTTTTTTTGCAGCTAAGAGTGTCCATAAAACAGAGAACCATCAATTTTACGTCAAAAATCTATATATTTCACCTTTAAATTTTACTAAGCATTCGTAAAATTTATGGAAAACAAACGCCGTATTATACAAAAAATTAAAATTTACGTGAAATTATACGTAAGCATATTCGTTTATAGTAACCCATTTATACTACTTTTAAATATTATTTTAATAGCAAATTTGCTTCGTCAATAATGAGTAAAATACAGAAAAGCATTTTTACTAAATTATTNCCTACGCAGACTGATCCAAGTGGTCACCCACCCGCACACTGACCGCAGCCAGTGATGCTTGACTTCGGTGATCTGCTGGGAACCGCGTCTTAACGATCAGTCCACTGCGGGACGAGACTTCACTGGGATTCAACTGTAATGGTATTCATAGGAGTTTGGGTTGAGACTTAATTGAATTTTCAAACGTCGTATTATCCAAAGAATTAAAATTTACGTAAAATTATACGTAAGCATATTCGTTTATAGTAACCCATTTATACTACTTTTAAATATTATTTTAATGGCAAATTTGCTTCGTCAATAATGCGTAAAATACAGTAAAGCATTTTTACTATATCTAAAGAGTAAATTCACTTCGTCAATATTACGTAGTATATTACATAAATTATGAAGTAAGTATATTACATAAATTATGAAGTATATTACGAAGTCAATATTACGTAAATATTCTTACGAAAATAAAATGGTAAATTTATTTTGTCAATATCACGTAAAGTATACGGAAGTTTTTTTTACCAAAATTTAAATAGTAAAATATACGCCAACATTTATACGAAAACTGTACAAAACTTTCTTACCAAAATTTAAAGATAAATTTGCTTCGTCAATAATACATAAAATATGCGAAAACAATCTTATTGAAGGTTAAAATACATTCTGTTAATAGTATACAAAATATATCGAAACTTTATCAAATATCTCAGTATTAATATCATTCCGTCAGTATTACGTAATATTTATGTATTAAGCGTAATGATTTTACAGATTTCCCAAAAATTTACGTATTATGCTGCGTGGGTATTTCCTTCACAGATACATATTTCTGATTAAAAATCTTATTTTATGCAATTCTTTCGAGTCCCAAAAGATTTAACGAACAGGGAAATTATATTTTGCGTAATTAAAGTAAGTTGATCAATTTTCAGGAAACTTCCTAATCAAAAAATGTAAATGAAAGCTCAACAGCGTTCAACTTGGTCATTTTATTTTTAAAAATCTCTGCTTTTTGTACTATATTGTCGTGCAATAGAAAATCTGAATTTATAAAAATTTCAAAATTGAGATTTTTATATATGTGGCATTTTCGTATAATATTCTGTAGAGAAAAAAAAATTGAAAAATTCATTTTATCAATTTTCTGAAATTCTATTTTATCTTTCATAGCATCAGCAGCAGAAAGAAAAGAGTGGTCAAACCGCTTTTTTCGAAATCTGTCGAATTACTTTTTTACTATCATGAAATGATGTCTTAACTGCTCGGTAATACAGTTGGAACATTATGAGGTATAGTTAAGAAATCTCAACATACTTTACTGAAGGGCAATTGAAAACACAACGATAGTGCTTCATGATAAATTTTGAGATAAGTGGCATGACAACTATTTTCTTGCTATTCATATTGCTATGAACACTAAAATAGAATTTTTAAGAAAAATACGGATGAAAATTTTTTTTCTTTCATTGGAAATAAGTAGCTTATAATACAAAAATACCAAATATATTTTTAAAAAATCACGATTTTGAATGTTTTGTCGCTTACGTTCATTTTCCTATTGCACGGTGGTAAACTATTGTAAACTAACATAGTAGGTAATCTAAGGTAGAAAACTAACTATTTCTGTCTCAAATATTTTTCAAATATACACTGTGAAAAATGAGAACACCTTAATAACTTTTAATTTAATGATCGTATTTTCGCGTACTACAACTTTATAGTTGGAGATGGCTTAACTTTAAATGTGCTAACTAGCTAAAGCAGACGATATTTTAAGTTTCGAAATTAGACACAGATGTACTTTCTGAGAACAAACATTCATTTTTTTTTTCAATGTATTCAAATTCTTGACCAGGGGAAACAGGGGAATAGCATACATACTGGAAAATATGTGATAGTAATTTAGTTTATGCAGGAGAGACAGAGTCCGTACAATGTTTATTTTTAATTTTAAAAACCTATTTAGCTTTTAAATTTAAATTTGTGCAAGAACTTGCTTACTTTACAACTCAAAAAGTTTTCAGACCGTTAGTAAATAACAGAAAATAATTGCTAACATGGAATAAATATGCTGAATAAGAATTTGTTTTTTTTTATTCGCTTCAGTAGTTATGGAGGTATGGCTATAAGTAAGCTACATGTAAAATTAACATTAACGGGATTAAACTTTTGACTGTTTTGCTGCTTAAATTATAAGAAAAGTCTTTTCAAAATCGCTGTCAACCCCTCTCCCCCATATTTTAATGGTCAACAATTCAAAATCATTAAAAAAGGCTGGTTATTCAAAGACAGTGCGTTTTTGTGACTTATTTTATTTCTTTAAATATCATCTGCAATAGTTAAGTAGCATATTTATGGTTAAGCTTTAAGACTATTCATTGAAAATCTAATTATTACACCTTTATTATTATTTAGATGTTCCTCTTTTATTATTTCGCACTGTTTATTGAGGAAAAATGTAATAATTTTTATACCGTATACACTCCGAACGAAACATTAATTCTAAAAAGATTATCAAAACAGAAAATACCTCCAACGGGCACCATATATTTGGATCTCCACCATGTTAAGACTGCAAGCCGAAAATATATTCAAAATAACCAAGAATGTAACTCTAGTTTGCGGGTGAAGTGCAGCAAACAACTGCCAGAGAAGGGTGAACTGCAACAAATCGCATCGAGGCAACAGTGATTGAGACGCTTAACATTTTTCAAAGATGCGCGCGCATTTTTAGGGATGAAGTAGTGATAATAGAAATTTATTTATGTCGCACTAGAGCTGCACTAAAGGCTATGGGTGTCTAGGAAACATTTCGGGGGATGATCCAAAGACTTTGGTAGTCCGAAATTCTTAATAGTTATCTTTGGTAGTCCGACGACCTGTGCGAGAAGTTGAGAACTCTAAGTTAGAAAAGTCGTGGACTAATCCCCCCACCCTTCGTCGTCCCTTCAAAGGCTGATCACACATCCGCTGACTCTTTGAGACTTCACTGTTGTTGTTGTTGTAGTTCATTTACGTCGCACTAGAGCTGCACAATGGGCTATTGGCGACGGTCTGGGAAACATACCTGATGATGATCCGAAGACCCCCGCTTCGGTAGCCCGACGATCTGCACGCGAAGTCGAGCACTTTACGGTAGAACAGTTTAACGAGGACCCATACCGCACACCCTCGGTCCCTACGCAGACTGATCCAAGTGGTCACCCACCCGCATACTGATTGCAGACAGTGATGCTTGACTTCGGTGATCTGCTGGGAACCGCGTCTTAACGATCAGTCCACTGCGGGACGAGACTTCACTGGGATTCAACTGTAATGGTATATTCATAGGAGTTTGGGTTGAGACTTCGCGGCCCATGCTCTAAGATAGAAGGTTCGATTCCCGTCTGTTGCATCTTTGTTTATTCCTTCTGTAATGTGGGCTATCCATTCTTCTACAACTTGATAATTGGGTATAAGCTTTCATTACAATTGAGCACACAAGCCTGCTTGAAATCGATTCATTGATATTCATGATCAAGAAAATAGCGAGACGGTACTAGCGAAAATGCTTGATCCGAGAAAGGCCTCACTTTCTTACTCACTGAGAATTTAATTATTTACAAGATGAAGTAATCAGACATATTAGAAAAAATATCTTTTATTATCTCTGTGTGATATCGTTCTTTATTTTGTGTTAGCTTTCTTTAAATGTGACGGGACTGAGAAAATTTCTCCTAGAAGAGAGAAGGCCTCAGCACGGGTTACCATAAACATGAAATTTGATCCTTTAGTAGTCCGAACATGATGATATCTGTCGTATTTCACTTTCTTTGCCTGAAAAGATTCAAGTGCAGAAAATAAAAAAATAAGCAGCCTAGATAAGTTGTATTGCCGGTCCGATCAGCGCTCAGTAGTGCAAAGTGGAGGCAGCTGGCTGGAATCCCACTGGTACCCGGAAAATATCTTGTGCTAGATATTCAGCATGGATATATATCAAAATTTAAAG